AGACGACATAACAGAATTTATTGAAGCTTTTTTCTTACATCAATGCATCCCTGATTTTGAGTGCAAGCTTCTTTCTTTACCAATTACTATTTAGTATACCAATAAAAGGGTATATAATATACAAAGAGAATTGAATAGAAGGAGGGGGCATTAGGGTTTCCGTACACTTTGCTGTGACGTTTTTGGACTGATGAAGAACTAGTTTTTGCGTAACAACAAAAATAAAGATTGTAAACAATAACACAAATGATAAACAGACATCTGGTGCATCTCTGGTGTTAGATGAAGATTCACCGTATACTAACTCATGTTTGTTTAATTAGATCGGCTGCCTTTGTTATTGTTGTTAGTCCAAAAACGTCACAGCAAAGTGTACGGAAACCCTATCTCCCCCTCCTTCTATGGAAGACAGGCGGCCAAATTTTACATGAAGATGGTCTCATTCTTTGTGGGTAACCCTGTATATACAGACAAACTAGGTTTTCAAGGGGTTACGCGCCTCTTTTCTAATTCTAGCTTTCAAATGTAGTTTTTCAAACCACCAATTTTGCTCCTCAATTGCAACTAAAAATGAAGCGGAGTTTTTATGTTTGTATAAACCGATTTCCAAAATTATAAAAACAAAAATTTTCTTGGCAAAATTGTTTAACTTCAACCAGTAACAAACACAAGTGAACACAAGTTTACAAAATATTTAAGAAGGGTGGGGTAGCCCTGAATTCCTAGATTATGAATATTTCCTCTATATTGTTTTAATAAATATTCAAAAATAATTTGACAGAATAGAGAGTGTTTTTATATAATATTTATAAAATATTTGGTAAAGATTAAACAATAATATATATAACAGAACAAGACATTCATATTTATGTTATGTATAGCCGGCCAAACGGCTGGACCGATTGGGCTGAAATTTTTTGCGGACACTCATGGGTGGCCGGGGAGTGTTATGAAGAATTGAAACATTTAAATTTTTTTTGTTTATAGATTTTTTTTCCATGGGCAATGCCGGGTCCTTTAGTTAATATTGCCAGATACTGTTTACATATATCTGTGTAGGAAATATTATCATTATATATTGTGATCCAAATAAACGGGATCAGGAGTTTCGATCACTAAATGTCGGGTCCTTTAGTTAGTATTCAATATTGTCAGATACTGTTTATATATATCTATGTAGGAAATATTATCATTATATATTGTCATCCAAATAAACGGGATCAGGAGTTTCGATCACTAAAAAAAAATTTAACTCTTCCGATAATGTTCTAACCCCTCTCCCCCACAAAGGGGTATCGGGGGGGGGGGGGGGGGGGGGGGGGGGGGGGTCAGGAATATTAGGCCACGGGTTAGGTTAAGTTGAGACACTTTCTGTAAGATCCATGTGCAAAATTGATAGGAGGGGGCCTGGGGGGTTCAAAAATCGTTCTCTAGGAATATACCCGCAGTGACACAACTAGCACTGTCATATTTGTCCATTAATCGTATGTTTGTGCAGTCCTAAGTAGTGAGTAGTTCCTGGCAAGTACTTGACTATATTTCGTCTGTCCATAATCCATATTAGTCTTTCTGATCGAAGTCCCTTGTCCTTGTTTGCCTGTATGCTATCCCGGTTTTCCTCTTATAGTCTGCAAAAGTCCCAATAGTCCGCTATAATCCATATCATATTTCTTGTTATTCTTCTGAGGTTGTCTGGTTTTTTGTAACCTTAAATGATATATGTATTGTAAAAACAGGTTTATTTTTGAAAGGATAAACTAAGAATGATTGACGTCTAAAACCAGAAAATAGTTAGAAATTCTTTTAGAAATGATGCGTAAAGCGCCAAAGAAAAATTTTGGTATTTTTTCTTAATTGGCAAATTTTGATAAAAGATGGTCCACAATCATGATCATGCTGGAGTCTAGTAAGAAGGGGGGGGGGCGAAATCTGGTTTGCCCCCCTCCCTTAGATGCGCCACTGTATGAACGGGAAAAGTAATTATAAATAGAAATCATTTGAAATCAATGCTAGCTACAATAGATCAATGTTTGTAAATGAAAAGATTATCAGAATATATTCATTTTGTCCATTCTCACCATGAAACACAAGACAAATGAGTTTTATTAGGAGTATTGAGTCAAAAACCAGTCAATCCCCCCTAACCCCCTAAAATACCCCACTGTGCCCCCCCCCCTCACAGTCACAACTTCTAAATTATACATATTTCCATTTTATCATGTACTTTTTCTTGAAAATTAAAACCCCAGTCCTTTTTATGTAGTGAGGTAAGCGATTAAATCAATACCATGAAGACGACTTTTTTAGTTTTAATCGTTAACAAGCTTTTTTTTCGAATTATAAATTTATAAGTAATCAATTAGAAGCTTTTTTAATTGATATCTTCTCTTGAATTCTATTATTATGTGGTATCCATTCTATTTAACAGCATGATATATAGGGTGTCCCACATCAAATTAGACCGCGTCAATAGGTATAAAATACGATTTAGGGGACAAATCAGAAAATATTAGAAGAATTAATCATTTTGAAAAATTTAATAAGGTTAAGAGATTTTTTTTGCAGAAAATGCTAAATTCGAGTATTATGTGCGTATTTCGGCGTTAAAGATTGGAGTTAATCTAATATAATTTGGGACGCTACGTAAATAAAAATGGAAATTGAAAGTCGGCTTCATTGTATTGATATGTTCACCTACCAGTGTAGTAATCCTATTTCTTCCAGTATGTCAAATATGTTTGCGTGGAGAGCAAAAAGGTTTTTTTTAGCTGGATTGTCGAAAATAAATGATTTTCTTTGGATGAACCATCTTAAGGGGGGTCCCCTTGGAAGTAGATGTAAAATTCCTCTATACCCCTCATGCGCTTCTAACATTGAAAAAGGTGTCATATCGATTGCACTAATGATTGATCGGACTAACGTACATTCGCACTAACGTTCATTCGGACTAACGTTTTATTTGAGGGTTTGATTAGGTTAAGAAAATTTCTGGGCCGAGCGCTGCGGCTAGGACAGGCTAGGGGGCCGAGCGCCCCAGCCAGGGGGCCGGGCGCCTGCGGCCACAAGTGTTACTGATCAACTGACTTAAGTGCAAAAGTACGTTAGTTCAATCGGACATTAGTGCAAACGAAATAGCATCTTGAAAAATATATTCCTGAATATTTTCTGGATTTATTTGTTATAATTGTTCACTGAGGACATTATCTACAGATAAAACAGAAGAAAACATATTAAAGAATCAGCAGTTTCTAACACCAACTCCACCAACTAAGCGATTTATATGAATAACTAGAACCAGAGGAAGAAACAGCAGGGCCCGGAATTAATGAATTTGATTTAAAATTCAGTGATAGTGATGGACCAAACCTCTGTAGAGTAAAAAAGTAGATGTTAGTTCCACATTTATTGAAAATATATTTCGGTCTGGGTTGACCCTCGTCAGTTCTAACGATATAATAACCATCAAAATCGATAAAAAAAATAAAAAATGTAAAAATCACAAGAAGATAACCAAACAAAAAGATTATTCAAAATAAAAATTTGGGCTGTCAAATGGACATAAGGGAAAAGAACTCAGATTATGAGATGGAAAAAAGATAATTTGCAAATATTCCCTTTCTAAAAAAATGTTTTAAGACAATTATTATTCCTTGAAATTGTTTCTTCACAAAGATTAAAAACAAACTGTGTATATTTTGAAAAACCTCCTTCATCCAAGGATCCTGGACCATGGTTCTCCAATGTTTCTGTATGATGGAGGAGATACAAGGCAGCTGGGGATTAAATGAGATAAAGAATATAATATAATATAATGAATTTGAGCCAGATCTAGAGACGGTTCAACCACGTATCTTGAATCGGTGATTCAGGATGATTTTAGTTGAACCGTCGGTAGGTAGTTCAAGGACCGAGCTCAAATTCAATAAATTTGGTCAATGATAAAAATCTCCAGGCCTAATCCTTTGCAGATTACCTCACTGCATCTAGGGGCGTTATTTGTTATGGATCGTTTTAAGAACATTTTTACCAAACTTATATTTAAAAACTGTCTTAACGTTGGCTTTTCTTAATCTTATCCATATCTTTAACCTAAACAATAATAAGTTTGGTTTTGAATCGTTTTTCGGTCATTTTTTTGCAGATTACTTCTTTCAGGGTCAACATTGTAGAAATAAAAAATATATAAAATTAACATTTTTCTTTTCACTTTGCCACCAATAATACCAATCGCTTGATCTCGATGTCCACATTGGGAATTTTTGAATTATACGCAGAATCTGCTGGATTCTGAATTTCCGTAAGTTCTCTCATTCCAGACCTTCCATATTTAAAATTTTACTAACATGAAGATTATTGACGTGGTGTAAAATCAGGATTTTATTTTAAGTTTTTAGGAAATAAATTTATTTGAATTGAGTACGGTTAACAACTTACATAAATTACTAAAAAAAACGAGAGATTCTATATTTTAACAATTTGATTTTTTACTTTTATTTCTAACTATCTTTTATTTATAATTATTTTATAGGATTTTACTGATAATTGTTGTCCAAACCTAAACTTGAAGGGATTGTTCACATCTTTATATTTATATTATATTATATTTATTTTATTCTTTAATAATACCAATATTAGTGAACAGTCCCTTTAATGTTTAATTTGATAATTAGTAAACAATCATTTTACATTTATAAGGAAGAACTATAGTTTAGACACCCTAAAGGACTGGAAGAGAGTAACAAATTCAACAACTAGTAATAAAACAGATTAAGGAAAAGTTATCTGGTTCAACATGTCACGTGACAAACGCAGACAGGGAGCCTGCTTTTAAACAGAATACTGTCGTCTACAAAGTTACACGTTATTCTGTACAATCTATAGAAGACGATATTTGAAAGGTTTGAAATTTTAACAGAGCACCATCTGCGAAACGTTTTCCTCAACCCAGTGACATATTGGACTGAAACTCCTTAAAACTCTGTACAAAGCTCTTTAATACCTTTACCATTAGGTTACCCTACTATCTATAGTAAACTTTTAATAAATATGGCACATTTCGTACATAGTTCACATAGTTCTACACCGTGCACAATATATACAGTAGAGCCCATAGAACTGTGGAACAGGAAATACGATATTTCAGCAATCTCATGTGTTGTAAAGCAATCAGTATTACCGGTAGCTTATTAAGTGATATTAATTCTGTTTCATGTTTATTTTAGACTATTTAACACCAAACTTGAGTCTTACAGTCGTTCCACAGTTTCATGGGTCTCACTGTACATTCAGGCATTGTCTGAAGTACACAGTTTAAAATATTTTGAGTTGACAAGGTACAACAAACTATGTACTGTACATTACAAAACAACTAGTTAAAACTGTACACAACTATGAGTAAGTGTATACAGTGAACACTTGTATTGATAAGTACACACTACACTGTTAACAGCAAATGGCGTACAGTATACAGTGTGTGTACAATGCATGTACAGTGTAAAAGACTAGAATGCCGTTACCTATCACCTTGCACAAAGAAATGCATTGATCAGAATCACCTGAAAAAAGTCTAATTAAAATAACAGCATACAGTGAGAACCAGAAAACAGTGGAATTTCTCGTCGTCTTTGCTTTTATTGAATTATTGAGTGTTCATAAGGATATTGTAGTTTGGAAATGAACTTAAAAAGGATAGCGACAATTAATTCCAGGTTGCTGCTCAGCTAAAGGTGTAAATGGTATCGTTATGAATCGAGCAAACTGGGGGGGGGGGGGGGGTTCTTGAATTTATCGTTAACAGTCCCTTTAAATCATAAAATATAAGATTTTTATGTCTTCTACCTATTTAAGGTCAAGGAGAAGAGTTGCTGGAGATTCTAGATAACTCTTCCATAGGTTGGAAAACCTGGCTACAGTAGCACCATCTAGCAGCCTGAACAATTTTATTATTATTTCAAAATGTACGAAAAATAAATGATCGCAGATAAATCAGCAATATAAAGCTAAGATTAGTACAAGAAAGAGGGATGTAAAGTAAAGTTTCGTTTTTTAATAAAAAATTTCCATAAGAGAAAAGATATTGTAGGGATCAAAATCCTTGATTGTTCAATGACCTGTACATCTTGATCTGATCAATGATCTGTTTAATGATTTGATCAATGATCTGTTTAATGATCTAATCAATGATCTGTTTAATGATCTAATCAATGATCTGTACATATTGATCTGATCAATTATCTGTTTAATGATCTGATCAATGATCTGTTTAATGATCTGATCAATGATCTGTTTAATGATCTAATCAATGATCTGTACATATTGATCTGATCAATGATCTGTTCAATGATCTGTTCAATGATCTGTTTAATGATATGATCAATGATCTGTTTAATGATCTGATCCATGATCTGTTTAATGATCTATTCAAAGATCTGATCAATAATCTGTTCAATGATCAGTGATCAATTATCTGATCAATGATCAGTGCTCAATGATCTGCTAAATAATGTAAACCAACCTATGATCAGCGGACCAACTGACATTCATAATATGTGCAGGATACACCTCACCAGCACTGTTAAATCTAAACAATACAGAAACTTTTACGTTTATTTCATAATGAAGAAGATGTAAATATTGGGTACCCCAAAAAAGACCAAGTTGGAATATTTGTATGATGCAGACTGGAATGAAGTGACATTAAGTCCTACAAATTCAGGATTTTTTTTTTGGAGTTTGTAGACTCTACATGCATAATTCTGAAAAGTATATCAGTCAGATTTTTTTTCTCCTGAATTTGTATGATTAAATCACTTCATTTCGGTCTGCATCATACACATATCCCAACTTGATCTTTTTCGTACTCAACTCAATAAATAAAAATAGTGTAAGGCCCATTTCTCTGTAAAAGTTCATTTTTAAGCTACTAGTAAAAACGGATTGCTTAACAAACCCCCACAAACAAGATTCCCTAAATATCATCTTCCTCTTCTTTTCAATGTTCCACTGTATAACCTTTTTAGGGCCAAACCGTAATAATAAAACACTACGTTACCCATAAATAAAAATAGACATACAGTAGCAATTTTCCCACATTTTCATGTATAAAAAATCATATATTTATCAACAAATGTTTTGATTTTTTTCCCAATTCATTGATATAATCCTATTTTTTTTCTGAACTGAAAATAAAAAGACATTTTCAGAGGGGTAACAAGTTGGATTTCTAGAGATTGTATACCCCTGCAAATATAAAATCCAGTGTTGATGATGCTCCAAAACTCACAGAGTAAAATAATTAGCGTTAGTTCTACATTTAAAAAAATATATATTTCGGTCTGGGTTGAGACCCTATTCAGTTCTTGAGATTTGTTTCTGTAATGAAGATTCAAAACAAACGTTAAGCTTATAAGTGTACCTGGGTAGAACTCTGAGTTTTCCAAGTGCACCAATAGCAACCTCAGGTGCCATAATGACCGGGCTAGCGTAGGTTCCTAAACAAATAAAGGAAATGTCAATATATTCTTAACTCAGTAATCTTTTGTTTAAAGGGACTAACAACGTAATTTGAAGGTAACCTTTATTCCGACTCACAACGGTACCTCTTCCGTATCCGTATCCGTATCCGTATCCGTATCCGTTTCCGTATCCGTATCCGTATCCGTATCCGTATCCGTATCCGTATCCGTATCCGTATCCGTATCCGTATCCGTGTCTGTGTCTGTGTCCGTGTCCGTGTTCGTATCCGTATCCGTATTGAAAAAAGATTATTTCCCTTGTGGTTTCTCTTTAAAAAGAATTCCTAATAGTGAATCATACATGACACTCTTTATGTTTCAGGGACACTTAATATAATATAATAAATCCTGGAAATAAATGGATTCGGATCTAGGTCATGAACAGTTCTTCAAGATTTACTGTTTTTTTAAAGAATTTTGAATTTATTTTTCTTCATTTTTTTCCTTCTTATTTGATTAACTATTCAGAAAGTTTTTCTATTAATCTTTTCGGCATTCAGATTTAGGTTAAGAGATAAAGCTTCGTTTTTGCCGTTTTTGGTTGGTATTTTGGTTGATATTTTGGTTGATATTTTGGTTGATATGTTGGTTGATATTTTGGTTGATATGTTGGTTGATATTTTGGTTGATATTTTGGTAGATATGTTGGTTGATATTTTGGTTGATGTGTTGGTTGATATTTTGCCCCTTGGATCCAGATCCAGGAAGCCATAATGTTGCAGACCATAAGCACTGTGAGATAATTCAAACTGTTCAGCTTAATTGTTTAAAAATCAAAAAAAAAAAACAATCCCAAAATCTAGCGGAACCCTTGAAGGGCAATTGACAAACAAACTTAACTTCTTACAAAATTTATTTTGATGGGGTTTCTCCCAATCAAATCAAATAAAACAAATAAGTGTTAGGGATTCTTTGAGGTTCCCTCGTGCATTTCTTCTACATTTAGCTTAGCATGTGATTTTTTTAACTGTATTTGTATACAAGTTATTTACTTATTTGTTCGTATGTTAGATCATAATTCTTGAACCCCTTGACCGATTTGCCTCAAATATCTCGGTAGAACCACGGGATTTGCTAAGCTTGATTTAAAGAGAATGTAGAGTTTCCAGACAAGGGTGGGTTCCCATACTAGTTGTTAATATATTAATATATTTTAAACCTAGAATATTTTACCTCCAATAGATCCTATGTTGGAGAGAGAAAACGTGCCTCCTGTCAGATCCTACAATTTAGCAGATATCACAGGGATGGTAGATAGATAGATAGATAGGTAGGTCTGTAGGTAGGAAGTTAGGCAGGTCTGTAGGTAGGTAGGTCTAAAGGTAGGTAGGTCTGTAGTTAGGCAGGTAGGTAGGTAGGTGAGTAGAAAGGTAGGTACGTATGTATATAGGAATATATGTATGTGGGTATGTATGGGTGTATGTATGTATGTATGTATGTATGTATGTATGTATGTATGTATGTATGTATGTATGTATGTATGTATGTATGTATGTATGTATGTGGGTAGGTAGGTAGGTAGGTAGGTAGGTAGGTAGGTAGGTAGGTAGGTTTGTGCTATCGAACTTACCGACAGCATATCGGACTTAACGACAGCACATGGAACTTAACGACAGTATGTCGAACTTACCGACAGCATATCGAACTTAACGACAGCCTTTTGAACTTAACGACAGCATATCGAACTGGCACTTTTGTCTATTTCACCTTATTTGTTAGTTTACCGGCCAATCCTATCTCCTGCAGTCGGGATAATTCCTCAGAAATCTGTACAATAGAAATAAATTAGTTTAAGAATTGTAAACAACCAAATAATTCATGAATTCATTCATTCAAAAGTTTTTTTGATCTATTTTCTGTCTTTAGCTTAATTTCTAAGAAGAACTAGGCTTCCACGGCTCTTGCACTCATTTTCGATTTTAACTTTTATTGTTGCACAAAAAATGTTTTGCGATTGTTTTAGCCGTTTTGAAGTTTATTGGACACAAACAATCAGACAGACAAATGACAGTAACCGCACTGACTCCGCAGACCGCTTAGGGTCGAAAAGAATGTTAAAAAGTCCCAAAAAGTATCAAAAATTTAAAATCGATTTAATTCAAACATCTCGTTCTGACATTAATGGTACCTTCACTATTCTATTTGTGCAAGTAACAAACAGAAATGTAAAATTATCTAAAGAAGAAACAAGAAAAGATAAAAAAGAAACATGTCTTATCTGCTCAAGGACAATAATATTGCAATGTAAACAAAATATTAAAAGATTATTGAACAAAAAATATTTTATCATTCCCCCTCTAGTTTCTTTTATCTTAAGTCTTAAACCTCCCCCATCCCCTCTTCAGTGTAGAACATCTCTTAACATAACCCCCGCGCCCTCTCTTAGACATTAAATTAATACAACATTTCACCACAATCTTCACCCTTAGAAATCCCCCCCCCCCCTCCCTTTCACGCTAGGTTCTAATCAGTATTTTATTGTTTAAAGTTTAGAAAAGAAAACAAGAAAAATAAATATTTTACATCTAAACTATTAAGATATTTTTTTTATTTCACGAAATCATTTTAAGACAACAAAATCTCAAAAAAAAATGTTCCACTTGAAGTTTCATCAAAACAATTTAAGTTTAAAAATTGTACTGTCTTACTTTCCCCACCAGTTTTATCTAAATTCGTGCTTCCATATTTTTTCATAAAAAAAATAATTTTTACCTCAAATATAGATAGATTTTGAACCCCCTTAATGTTAGGCACCAGTAGACCCTGCTCATACCATCAACATTAAGGTCAAAGTTGTGTGCTAGGTCATTCGAGTTCAAACAATTGAAAATCTTGTCCTTAAAGTTTAGTCCATATAATTTACAGAATAAAATGTTAAGTATAAAAAAACTAATTAAATTCCATTCTGCATCAACTGTTACGTATATTTTTGAGGCTTAGGAAGTGTTCCTTATAAACGTCAATCTCGTATATTTTTAGGCTTAGGAAGTGTTATAAACGTCAATCTATCTAGGAAAAATTAACCACGTAACGAATCTGAAAGCAACATTTGGCAAAAGCTCAATGGAAATTAACGCTGAAATATTCAGGCATATCTTCGAGATAGACCTGATTGTGTTCCAAATCACAAAAAGGGGGTATTAAAAGTATTTTAAAAGAAGGTGAATGGTCCCTTAGAGATAATAATATTAGATAGATAATGATTGATGCCTGTGCTGTATCCATCGCAACTCCAATATTATGACTGTGTTTATAGGTCACAGTCTCTGACTAAAAAAATGACATTATTAAACTTATAATCAAAGGATTTGAGGTTTAACAAAAAATCTATTTTTCGAATCCCTACATCTTTACAACTTAATAATTAAGACCTTTGATATTTCAAACTTAGATTATTTGCTCTAACGGAATTCATAGTCTGAATATCTAAGGTCTACGCCCTTGGGTTGTAGAGATATAGGGGTTAGATATAGTTTGTGTAGAAGACTTAATTCCTTTACTAAATAGCGAAAAGTTGTTTAACTACGTACAATGTTAAGTACTCGCAATGTTTTAATAATTTTTTTCTCATAATTATGCAATCTATATATACATTTAGCTTGTCTGGGTGTCTGTTTGTTTGCATCGAATAAACGTCAAAACGGCTGAACCGATCAGGCCCAAATTTTGTGTGGGACCTCACGTGGCCCCAGGGAAGGTTTATGACCGATCAAAATTTCAAAAATTTGTGTTTAAAAGTTTTTATTTTTGTAAAATTTTAAAAAATGCTGCAACAATTATTATGAAATCCGCAAACTTTTTTTTAAAATACTGTACAAAGAGAAGATGCTCACAGATAAATCAACAATTAGAAGTTGAAATAGAAGATAAAAGCCTAGTAATTTACAATTCAAGCGAATTATCGAAATACGTGTCATCAATAAACGAAAAAAAGAGGTATAAAATTAAAGAACAAAATCAAATATAAAATTATCATGAAGTATATTTCTTTGCAACAGGAAACTAGTGTTGTTTATCATTTTGGACCGTTTTGTTGTTAAATATTTGTTAACCAAGATTTCCAAACTGTATTATGTTAAAGTTTGATTTTATTAAACTTTGCAATTTCTTTAATCTTGATCACAGAAAAAAATAAAAATGAAAAACGATCATTACAGCATGCACCGTTTAACACGTTCGTTTTTGCATAGTTTTGAGATAGTTTTTGCATAGTTTTGAGATAGTTTTTGCAGACCCAAAAACGAACCAGCTGAAGGCACATCACTACCGGAAACTATTTCTTCTCTTTATTCAATACTATATAGATCCTTGTTATACATATACCCTTAACCCCATCTTCTATTTCAATTATAAACATTTTTCTTTTTATATATATTGTAAAAAAAAATTTGAGGGAAAAAAAATTAATCCATAAACATTCCCTGGGGTCACGTAAGGTCTCACAGAAAATTTGGGCCCGATCGGTTCTGTAGCGCCCATATTCTATTGCAATTGTGAACATGTTCTCTGTGTATACATTTTTAAAAAAAATTCGTGGATTTTATAAAAGTTTCGTGGATTTTATAAAAAAGTTTTCGAGGATTTTATAAAAAGTTTCGTGGATTTTATAAAAAAGGTTTCGAGGATTTTATAAAAAGTTTCGTGGATTTTTTAAATTATCAAAAATCGAATTTTCCTAGAGGCAAATTTTTGAAAATTCGATCATTCATAAACCTTCATTGGGGTCACTCGAGGTCCCATAAAAAATTTTGGCCCGATCAGTTCAACCGTTTTGGCGTTATTGGATAAAAACGGACAGAAAGACAAACATACACCCAGACAAGCAGAGTATATATATAGATTTATACATAAATTAGCGATTTCTTTATTTATAAACAATATTTACCTTAAGATCTAGAGAACTATTGAGAACTGGGAACTGAAGAAGAGCTAGAGAAGCGGCCTTTAACAAAATATTTATTATCTAGAGAAGCGGCCTTTAACAACATATTTATTATTGAGAGAAGCGGCCTTTAACAAAATAGTTATTATTGAGAGAAGCGGCCTTTAACAAAATAGTTATTATTTAGAGAAGCGGCCTTTAACAAAATAGTTATTATTTAGAGAAGCGGCCTTTAACAAAATAGTTATTATTGAGAGAAGCGGCCTTTAACAAAATAGTTATTATCTAGAGAAGCGGCCTTTAACAAAATATTTATTATTTAGAGAAGCGGCCTTTAACAAAATAGTTATTATTTAGAGAAGCGGCCTTTAACAAAATAGTTATTATTGAGAGAAGCGGCTTTTAACAAAATATTTATTATTTAGATAAGCGGCCTTTAACAAAATATTTATTATCTAGAGAATCGGCCTTTAACAAAATATTTATTATCTAGAAAAGCGGCCATGAACAAAATATTTATTATCTAGAGAAGCGGCCTTGAACAAAATATTTATTAAAGCTAGAGAAGCGGCCTTGAACAAAGTATTTATTAAAGCTTGAGAAGTGGCCTTGGACAATTTTTTTATTATCTAGAGAAACGGCTTTGAACAAAATATTTATTAAAGCTAGAGAAGCGGCCTTGAACAAAATATTTATTAAGGCTAAAGAAGCAGCCATGAACAAAATATTTACTAAAGCTTGAGAAGGGTCTTAAACAAAATATTTATGTCTAGAGAAGCGGCCTTAAACCAAATTTTTATTCAAAAATGATGAATTTTCTTGTACATTGTTATAAAAAATTTTTTTATAAACTTTTACTATCAATTTTGTTTCACCAAAGTACAATTGTACATGAATCATGTATCCTTGTATTTCTCGTGCTAAAAAAGATTAAGAATTTACATGGGAGCATTGTCTTAAAATATTTTGCTGTTGGAAACCTTAATCTTTTGCTATAAAACAGATTAAAACATTATTTTAACAAATTAAATGTCTATATTTCAAGATTCTAAATTTCAATATATTTCTTATTTTATGAATTAAAAAAATACTTATCGAAAAAAACTCAGAATAAAAAAAATAAAAAGCATTTTTAATGTCTTAGGTATTTTATCATCAAAAAATAAAAATGTTATCAAGGGTTTTCGCTGAAATGGGAAAACAAACTGATTTTTGGGTTAAAAACATCAAAAAGAGTAAAAACCTGAAACTCCTAAAGCCTTCCCGCCAAAAAAAAGATATATATTAATATTACATCTGTCAAATACCTTGACAATGAAAGGCATGTAGGACAATTTTACACCTCTTGCCTCACTGATACTCTTCAGCTCCTAAATATCAAAATTTAAACAAATTTATATTCAGAACAAAAAAGAAAGAAAATGCCATGATAGAGCAAACATTTAAATAAGTTCACTTTCTTTCTTAAAATTTTCTCAATTGCCGTTCAATGTTTAGGCAACTTACAATTTATGCTGCATCGTTTGAAAAAAAAGATTTTAATCCAAAAATGGGCTAAAGGGGGCGTTGTGAATCGCGTGACATTTAGGTTCACTAGAAATACCATAAACATTCCCTTTAAATATACCTTTCTGACGGTGACTAGACTAGACATATTGATTTCATCATAATATCCGAAATGTGGGATCATCAAGGACTCAGTCATCTTCTTAGTCATTGCCTTAACCATACCACTCAGGGGCTCCACCCTGTCCTTGCCTTCTATACAGATATAGATAGATAGATAGATAGATATATAGATAGATAGATAGAAAGATAGATAGAAAGATAGAAAGATAGAAAGATAGATAGTTATATAGATAGATAGATTCAGGGTCTCCACCCTGTTCTTACCTTCTTTACAGTTATCTGGTATAATCTTTTATCATCCTGTATATTGTATTGCGAGGGGGGGGGGGGAAGGCACAAATTCGTTCGACCACAAATTACGTCACAACTCACCATTATTTCTTCCGACCACACCTTTTTTTGTTTGGCATTGTTTACAATCTTTTTTTAAGTACTTTAAATTATTATATTAGAATTTTGAGCCAAATTATGTTGTTTATAATGGCTTAAACTATTTTCTCCTTTTTTGTTTAAAAAGAACATCTTTTGAATGTAACAGTAGGCATAAAACTATTTCTTGCAAATTTTTGTTTCACAAACCCTCATGAAAATTAAATTCAATTGATGACATGTTCCCTACCAAAAAATTGTCAATTTTTAGTTGTAGATTCTAAAAGTCCTAGCGCACTATCACCTACAAATTGCAGTTTAGGAGTAAAATAAGAAAACATCATTTCCGGATGAAAAATAGGTGTGGTACATATATTTTCCTTTCTTTGCTAAATTGGGCTTAAATCTTTTAATTTGTTAAACAAAGTCAATTTAAGATACAATTAAACCATATTGAATAACATAACGTTGACAAATAAAAAAAAATTTTTTTAACAGGCATACATTTGAAAACACAGAAGCAGTGCTCAGACGAAAAAAGGCGTTGTCGGAAGAAATAATGGTGAGTTGTGACGTCATTTGTGGTAAGGACGAAAAAATGGTGTGGTGTGCCTTGCCCCACTCGTATTGTGTTTATGCTATGTGTGAACAATTCTTTACTATAGGTGTTCCCTCGGACAAACCAAATTATACCTTCTTTGAAAACTATTTGTCCCGAGGTAAGATTTTCTAATCGAACTGGTTTCTTGTTCTTTCGCATAGATATGCATTCATAAAATGTAATAAATATATTCCCGAGTGTATCATAAAATTCAATTATTTTGCAGAAACTTATGGCCTCAGTTTAAACATTTTGTCCCGACAGTTCAAAATCATTTAACGTGAGAAATTTTTAACATTTTCTGTCATCCAATAGTGTAAAATTTGAACTAAAAACTTAATTATGAAAATTTTCCTTGTTCCATACAAAACATGAAATTCAGAAAAACTGAATTTTCACTGAAACTTTAAGTTCAAGCCTAAATTACTAGTGTTGTTGACAAAATGGAAAATTTCATATATAATATAAAACTCAAGCTAAAATTACTTGATATTATACCAAAATTATGAAAATTTTCTATGCAAGTGGGCTCCCCCTGCATCCCCAAGCCTCGTTCACTACGTTTCACTCGGTGCTTCTGAGTCCCCACTACAACACCCTTCCCTGCACCCCCCTTGGGAAAATCCTGGTAACAAGCCTGGATTAGGGTTTCCAGCGAAAAGGAAAAATCGTTTTGCGAAAATTTCGCATTTTTCGCGACCATTTCGCTTTAATCTGTTCTGAGAAAAAATGCGAAATTTTCGTGAAATAGAAAATACGAAAATTTTGCGAAAAATACGAAAAATTCGTCAAAAATTTCGAAAAATTCGCGAAAAAAATAATGGGAAAATTTCGCGAAAAAAATGCGAAAATGTCTTTAAATAACTCATGCTATAAAACTCATGGGTTTCACAAAATATTCATAAATTTCGTGAAGTTTTCGCATTTTCGCGAAATGCAACCGAAAATTTTGGTTCATTTACTTTCGCGAAATTTCGCAAAAAAAGTTTGCAAAATGCACCAAAAACTTTCGCATTTTTTTTAGAAACGTTTCGTTCGCTGGAAACCCAAGCCTGGATAGATTGATTGATATATATATTTAGCTAGCTAGATAGATTGATATTTAGATAAACAGATATAGATAGATATAGCAATATAGATAAGATACATAGTAAAAAAATTATTAAAAGCTACTGGTAAATCTATTTCCTTTATACAACATCAAATACAAGTAATGTTATTTAAATGTCGTCTTACTAAGAAATAAAATTGTATAAAACGGGATTGGCGTTGTTGTAAAAAAAATATTTGCAGGGTTCATGTTTTAGGTTAAAAAATATTCCCTTACAATCTAACCTGCAACGGCCGCTTTTTGGACTCTTGGCCTCGCCACCGCCGCCGAAACTGGTTTCGGTTTCTGACTGACTGGTGGAGCCCGGGCAGCGGCAGGCGGAGGGGCGGAAACGGCGGATTTATTATCTAAAAAGTTGAGAATATCTTCTTTCAGAACTCTACCCTCCCGTCCTGTTCCCACTACGTCAGACAGCGCAACATTGTTCTCAGATGCAATACGCCTGAGAAGAAGAAAAAATAACATTAAAAAATATGTTAAAGTTTTAAAATAAGACCCGACATAAAAATAGTTCAAATGGACTTAAAAATAGTTCAAATGAACGTAAAAATAGTTCAAATTAACATAAAAATAGTTCAAATGGACATACAAATAGTTCATTTTTTTCATTAGAACTATTTTATTTGAACTATTTTTTTGTTCATTGCAATTCCCCAACACTTTCTAAGATTGCATTCTAGATATTAAACAAATGAGGCATTTATTAGTTTATTAGTTTATTTGTCATGACAATTAGATTCTCATTTCTCATTCTCAACGTAGAAAACTTTGCAAAAACAAACTCTTTTGTCGTTAACAAACGTTAAAATAAGAGGACATTTCATATCTTATGTTTCTTCCACCTACAATCTAATTAACTATTAAATAAATAAAAGGCTTGTCTTTTTTCTTATAACACATAGAAAGTCATAATATCTAAGTATTAAACGTATAGAAGAATATAAACACTTTTCCAAAGTAGTGTGTACTATTGATTGAAGTGCTAAGAGACCTCTAGCGGCGAAAATTTTAACTAAAGCACAAGAGTTTAGTTAGACACAGTTTCACGAAGCAATTAGGTGTCGCATCAAATTATTAATTATAGAATCAACTCGCGAGTAATGGCAATTTCTCAACACTCTTAGCTTGCATCTTTATATAAACTTTGCATGTTTGTTTGTGTCCAATAAACATCATAACAACTGAACCGATCACCGGCCCTAATTTTGTGTGGGACCTCACATGATCCCAGGGAAAGGTTTTGGATGACTACAATTAAAAAATAAGCCTCTAACAAATTTTATTAAATTTTGAAAATCCACTATAATTCTTTTTATAAAATCTGCAAACTTTTTTTTATTGTTTTATAACGAATACATAGAAGATGAGCGCGAAGCGCTCAGAAAGCCTGGTCCTAGACATAAACTAATGACGCATTTATTAATTATTAGTTGTACTTCCATGAAAATTAGATTCTCAGCGAAGCAAACCTTACAGAAATACTTTTTTGTCGTAACAATTATAGAGTGTAAAATTCGTGGAATATAAAGTCTATATAATAAAACAAGACATTCGTATATATATATGTTGTGTATAGTCGGCCAAACGCTTGACCGATTGGGCTAAAATTTATTGAAGTCAGGGTGGCCGGGGGGTGTTAGAGGCTAAGTATTTAATACTTTTCCAAAGAAGTGTTCACTATTAATGGTTAGTGCTAGGAACCGTCTAGCGGCGAAAATCTGAACTAAAACACAAAAGTTGGTTGAACACATTGTTCTACGTAACAAACCCCTCCAAACTCTTTGATATTATCCCCCCCCCCTTCATCCCAAAGAGATTAATTTAAAAAAGTAAGACATTTAAGTAACCTTATAAATGTATTTTACATGTGCTGTGAGTGCTAAATTAGCAAATAGTTTTACCAGTTTAAGTTGAAAATTGGAGCAAATACAAAACTTATCCCACAATATATCAAACAAAGGTAATCAAATCAAAACATATGAATCCAGAATGTATCCAACTACTGAACACATCAAATTGACTCTTACGGGATTGAGCTGACCTGACTGCTGGGGTAGCCAGCACCTTGACCCTTCGTAAGTTAGAATCATCAATATCCTCATCATCTGATTCCAGAGTAACACTAGCAGGTACAGGGACCTCAGAGCTACCTGCAACCTAGAGAGATATATAAATATATAGGTAGATATATAGATAGATTGATATATAGATATTAATATTCTCAATCTCATGTTGTTGTTGTTGTAGCCTAGAAATTAGGTCAGGTCACTTCTTCTTCTTTTGTTATTTCTTCCACTTCTAAACCAAGATTAAGGGCAGCTTCTCATGGTTGCGTCCAAAGGATAAAGGTGGTTAAAATTGATAGTTTTTCTTTACAGTTTTAGAGGTGTTGGATATCATGTGGGCTTTCTTTGCAATCTGGGCATTCATTTTGAGTTTTTTTTCATCTAGTCTTGACAAATTAGGTTTTCAGTATTTGCTGTAGTTTGAGCTAAGTTGGGACAGGGAAGGACTTTTTTGATATTATTGGATGTTAGGAGGGGAACTATTAAAGACCTTGTTATATTCTACATCACTGATGCCATCTTTTAGAACTAGGTGTTGAATGTTTGTTGAGTAGGATTCTTTGATTATATTTTTCATTGCTCTTCGAGGTCTTGGGGCGAGAATGTTACTTTGGTTTGGATGTTCAGGTTTTTGTGTTGCTAAAAGAAATTGTTTAGTGATCATATTGCAATGATTTTTTACTGGCATGATCTTTGCCTCTGCATGGAGGTGGTCTACAGATGTCATTTTGACACATCCCAGTGCAGTTCTTAGTCCAGCATATAGGCAGGATTAAAGTGCGTTTTGCTCAATGCTTGAGTCCATATAGTTCAGAATAGATTGACCAATAGCTTTGTATGTGGTAAGCGTACTTCTTTGATCATACCCTAACTTGTACCGGCAAGCGCTTTAAATATGTTATTCTATTTTAAAGCTTATTTACAGTATTGATTGCATGATGTTTGAAGGTAAACATACTATCTAGAATGACACCAAGCAACTTTGGCTTTTGCATCGTAGGAAAAATGGATCTAATGTTAAAAAATAGGAAGTTGGATTTTTAGTTAATTAGAGAAGGTTGTAAACAGCGTTGCAGATAATTGATATGGTGATATCTGTAAATTTTTTCTTGAAACCCATTCAGTAAGTATGTAAAGATATCTATTTAACCTGGTACATATAGGATCAATAACAGGTCCTGAGCTAAGAGCAGTGCAGTCATCTAAATAAGTAACAAGTCTGATACTGCCAGGAGGTGAAGGCATGCTGGACATATACATATTGAACAATAATGGTGACTATGATTGGAAGATAAGTCTGATCCAAATGTAGTTCAGAGTTCTCTAGGCAAAAGTTGGATGAAGAGCTGCTGTAGCTAGACTAAGATCAAGGGAGCTGTTGCAGTTGGTGGGGATTCTGGTTAGAATATCTTCATTTAAGACACCAAACTCTGATGCATTGATTGTTTCAGCTAGAAATCTTCCTCTTATGTCTTCAGCAGTGAATGTCATAAGGAGAGGTTTGCATTCATGTCTGCCATTATGATTGAAGTGTCATTTTACCCAGGATGTTATTGGATGGTGCTCAGTAGTTGGAGCTGCAACTTGTAGATGGTGGAATATACAGATTTCTTATCATCTTATCATTAGCTGAGTGTTGTTGCCATTGACAGAAATTGTGAGTTCTTCGATATGCTGGTCATTTTCAGGTTGATGATACTTTTTGGAAAGGTACTAAATTATGAACAAAGGAAGGCTAACCCACCTTCTTTATCTTTTCTTACTAAGGTGTAATTTTGAGTGCCTCTCATATGTGATTTTATGGTAAGTTTAGTTTCCTGTATAGCAGCTATATGAATGTTATGTTTAGTCATGTGATGAAGAAATTCATCCAGTTTACCTAATATGCCATTTACATTTATTAGCAAGATGTTTAAGTCTGCATATTCAACTGTGTTAACTGTAGTGGAGGTTATTTTAGGAGGTGGAAGACTATTGGGTGGATTAGGTCAATTTCATCATCAGATTCCAGGATAACACCAGCAGGTACAAGGACCTCAGAGCTACCTGCAACCTTTATGTACTGCAGATAGATAGATAGAAATATGGATGGAGGAAAAATGGATAGATAGATGGATATATGTTACCTCAACGTCTACTAAAGGATCTCCAGTCTGTGCAATATCATCAACATCATAGTACAGTTTTGTAATTACACCGTCAAACTAACATTAATAATTTAAATAAACAAAACTAAAAATATGGATTTGGGACTTGGGTAGTACAAGGGGGGTGGGGAGAGGGGAAGCAGCGTTCTAACCTAGACTTGTAAAAAGGGAGCATTGACCCCTCTCATAGAAATCACATTTTTCCTTATTAATACAGAATGCTAGAAAAATTGTGTGTTGTGTGCGCCTAGAAATTCCACATGTATTTTATTGCAATATCTCCCCACACCCTTCCCCTAAGAGTTAATCCTGTACAGTTTACACACTATTTCCAGGGGTGTATATTTTCCTGAAAATCAATTTTCTTCTCCGCTTTTTGAAATTATTTTTTTCCAAGTTAGGTATGGTGGCATGATGCCGCTTAATTTGTTCTAGGGGTTTATTTCCTTAATTGGTAAAAGTAAATGATTTTTTTGAGAAAATAAATAAATTTTTGGGGTAAAAGGTATAAAAAAAGATGAACGGCTTAATTTCAAAAACAAATTATTAAAATTCCTTAGATGTAATGGTGACGCTGGCTTTATCAGATTGCACCTCACAGATATTGTCAAACTGGGACACTTTGTCTCCAGGCTTCACAAACCATTCCTGAACAATATACATTACTAGCTTGAGAACCCGGCCCGGGGTTCCACCTTTACCCGCCCCTAGTCGCAAATTATGATTTTAGTTTTTTTCCGGTTAAAAGTAAACCCACATAAGTTCATAACTCTCAAAACCAGACTAAGAACATTCCTGTGGGTCTCCAGAGTTCACCAATCAAAATATGAGGCAAATCAATCAATGGGTTCTTGAGTTATGATCGGACAATCAAACAAACAGAAATTACAACTTCATATATATACTAGAGTGGGACCAATTACTCTTTGAAATTTGAAATGAATAAATTAATATGTATGAAATGTTATGTAAATCAATATATCATTATCCAACTGTCTCGTGTTATCATTTAGGATATTATGTTTTTGTTGTTGTGATTATTCTTTTTTGTTTATTTACGGTCAATACGTTCGGGATAAAAAATTTTGAATTTGAACCTAAACAAATAAAAAAAAATAAAAATCCTGACCAATAAATATATTGTCCCGTGGTGTATGATAAGACAAGACAGGCAGTTTGTTAAATGAAATTGGTCAGTCTTCCATGTTATTGTTCATTGCACATATTCTGTGTTTTTATGATGATTGGACAGTTTAGAATCATAACTTGGTTCGTCCTTTTCCAGTTCAAAATTATTATTCTAAATTGTGATTCTCTATTAAAGTGACTTGCGATTTAATGCTGCAACCCCAAGACTCTTTATATTTTCTAAAAAGTTTTCCAGGAAATTAAGTTGTCATCAATGAAAGGGCAGTTACAATTTTTATTGTTCATAAGTTCATTTCAACTCTCCAAATAAAATAAATAATTTTTACGATTACCTTAATCGTTACTTCCTTAATCCCTTCTCCTATATCTGAGAGATTAAACTGAGCAATCTCAGCTACAGGCGAGCTTAAACTGAAACTCCTTAATCAATGAAATATTAACAACGAAAATAATAAAACAACCCCAAAAAGGCGCGACTCTACATATGCTTCCAATAAGGTTTTACTGCAAACTCCATGACCTTATTTAAACCTTTTTTTTAGTATTTTCACAGATTTCCTTAAATTCTGGAGTAAAGTCAAAATATTCAGTGTAATTAAAGCAAGCTTTCAAGTATTCTATAACCTTTAGGCTTTGTGTATTCTATATTCTATCAAAATGATGCCTATCAAATGTTGCATAATCTTAATCTTAGATTTACAAATTAATTAAAAATTTATCAGGTACCATTAAGATTTGGAAAATTTTAAATTACATTTACATTCCCTTTAAAGTTTGTATATTACCTGGCAGGTAGAAGTGCAGGTAGTTTGACCTCTAACCTACCGCCAGCCAACCTATGCTGAAACAAAAAAATTATCGTCAAAATCCGCAAAATACGACAGAAAAGATAAAAATAATCCAATTCATTTCTATAAAGACCAGGTCACAATTGTATCAATATTTTTTCATAAATGTATCTTAAACATCTGCAAAACTTCTTCACATATTAAAAAACATTATTAAAAGGCAGTTAGTGAGTCCTGTATAAAATAAAATCGACTCAATTTTTATTAATTTTTAGATGTCTAGAGATATTTCAATGGTCAAAACTTATTATATTTTTTTAGTTATTGGCCAGTTTTCTTGGAGATCGGTGCTAGTATTTAGTTTGAACATACTGCCGTTTGAACTATTGACTTTTTATACTACTGGTCGTTTGAAGTATTGCACGTGGTACCACACTTCATAGTTCAAACGACAAATAGTTCAAACGATAACATTCTATGCATATGATATTTAGACTATTTTTTTTGCTCATTTGAGCCATAAAATATATGGTTTGAATTAGCAAACAAAATAGTTCAACAGTTCAAAAGAATAGTTAAATTTAGCAAAAAAAATAGTTCAAATGAGCAAAAAAATGATCAAATGAGAAAAAATGGTTCAAATGAGCAAAAAATATTTCAAATGAGCAAAAAAAGTAAAAATGAGACAGTAAAATAGTTTAACTATTTCAATTTAATTTGAACTATCTTTTTGATTCATTTGAAAACATTTTTTTTGCCATTTGAACTATTTTTTGCTTATTTGGACTATTGTTTTGCTCATTTGAACTATTTTTTTGTGCTCATTTGAACTATTTTTCCGATCATTTGAACTATTTTTTGGTTTATTTGGATTATTTTTTGGTTCATTTGTTTTTTTGGTTCATTGAATTTTGCTCTTTTGAAAGATATTTTTTGGGTAACTAGAACTTAATTGTAATTTGCTCATTTGAACTACTTTTTTTCTCATTTGAACTATTAAATGCTTCATTAAAACTATTTTTTGGTCATTTGAATTATTTTAATGTCCATATGTGAAATGTTTTTTAATCATGTTAACTATTTTGTGATGATTGTTCACTTATATTTTTTCATGCAATATAAAAATTTTAAACTGCAATTAAATATTATTATCATTAGTTAGAATGAACAATAGTTAATAGTTCAAACGACAGCAGTTCAAATACGGATCCACCTTTTTAAATCGCATAAAATCGCAGTTCTAAACATGCCTCCGAATTCCTTGACATTTTTTATACCTCAGGGGGTGGCAATGTACATTTGATCAGAAATAGATTGAACGGAAATATTAAGCCACCATATATTGATGTTTACAACAAACATTTGAATGGGGGGATGTACTGTAGTATGGTATTTGTATATCAATATTAAGTTCAATCCAAAACTTCTAACTTCTAACAATAATCATTCATTGTTATTACTAGAACAAATATTTAATTTGTAGTCTGCATAAACAATAAACATACCCCACATACTGCATGTACAGATTAAACTGTACTGCGTGACCTCTTGAATAGAATCAGTGGAGAGTTCAATTCCTTGCGTACATCTCCAATCTATATATTGTTTTATCTAGGTTATACCTGAATGGTGAAGATGTATCTGCAAGTAGATCGGGTTGTTACAGACCCAGGAATAACATGAAACCTAAATTATTAAAATCTTTTGATTAGATTTTACACTTTAACTGCAGTTTTTGTTGAGATTAGCTTCTAATTTTATTTCTTCAGAGATACGGTTACTTTTTTTAAATGCAATAAACAATTTTAAAAATAAAACTTTTTGATTTGAGGTCGTCTTGGTTAGCTAACTGGCAATGCAAGTTTTGACCTTAAGTATATATACTCTTCTTCCGAAATCTGTTCTTTCACAATGCTTCCAATTATTACGGCAATAGTCATTTCTAATGGAAATCAAATTTCTAAAGGCACTTTCTTATAAGACACTTTAGGTTGGAGGTCGTCTTCTTACACTAACTGGCACTAACTGACCTTGGATAGAAAACTGTCATCCAAGAAATTGTTCTTAGAAATGTTTTCTTTTACATTCAAAGTGACTATCGCTGTAGTGATAGGAAGCATATTGCTTGTTTTTTTGCGCAACTACTAATCTCATAAAAAAGTACATTTAGGTCTAAAATGTTTATTGATTATCCACCCCCCCCTACAAATTACCCCAGACCCCTCTTACCTAGAGCACGATGGTTTAGAGCATGGGTTGAGAACAAGACGTGGGAGTAGGCTTCTCCCTAAGTGATTTAATAATTATTTTGGATAAAATATACAGGATTTTCTACGCTCTGAGAATGTAGGATATTTCTATTTGTTTTTACTTAATGGGACTAAAGACGTAATCTCAAATGACATGACCGATTTAAACGACGATATCTTCCCGATTGCGGCTCAGATAGAGAATTAAAGGGTACCATTGTCAATCAGACATGCCTGTACATTGTGAAAAGAGGACAGAACATTATGGAAAATGTCTTCTTATCTTTCTATTAACTAAAAAGTCTTAAAGGATTTTGAAACTTGCAACTGTTTCAATTGACAGATCTCTAAAAATGTGAAGGGCACTTTTTCGATTAGTCTTTGCAGCATTTTTTATCTAATAAGAAATAAGACGCTAACTCAATTATTTCTGGTTCTCATTGTATTCAAAGAGAGTGGAATATCTCTCTTAAATTACCTATTTGAATTGATGATTCCGCATTATTAAAAAACAGACTGGGGTTACATCGTTCAGGGTTACCCACAAAGGTCTAGACTTTAATGATAGCCTTAAAAACGAAATAAATGACGATTAGAATGGCCTGCTCTGATATTGGCATCTAATTGACTTCTTTAAGGACTTCATCAAAGTATTGAGAAGTGTAATGTTGTAGGGGGCCATGTATGTAATAATGAAAAATTTCGAATTCCCATTCTTTGTGGGTAGTGGGTATCCCTGTACCGTTAACTATTTATATATTGAAGATATTTAAAAATACGAAAGCAAATGGTAAAATTATCTCTACCTAGCGTCTTAGCCGACATTTTTAGTCTGAAAAAATATTTTTAATGTTTTTTTAAGATTTAAACAATTGTCATGCTTTTTATGGCAGAATAACTACCAATTAGTTAACGCTCATATCACGTTAAAAATCCGTTAAAAAACATCATCAAATGGTTTAAATATGGAAATTAATTTTGATTCAAAATTCTTAAAACTGTAGTATAGAAATTTTTTAACAGAAAGCTAAGTTTTTGGCTCAGACTACAGATTTCAGGGCAGTCTCTACTTCACATTAAAATAGGATTAAATCAAACATAGAATCCCACAGAGCAGAGAACCCATGAAAAATAAGAAAGTTTTAAAATAAAATAAAATTCGAAAAGTAAAGGAAAAGAAACATCCCTGAAATTGTTACAGCTGATCAAAAAGCCGTGTTACCCCCCCCCCCGGTCATAAAATGCGTACATCGTTTAAAAACTAGAAAAAAACTAGTTTGTTACTAAGCAAAAGAAAAACATGTTAAACTCCGATTAAAAGCTTTTTGATTAATGGAAATGTTTTTAATTTTACTGAGATTTGGTAAGGTGTTTTTTTCTTACGGATTTCATATTTACATTGTCAAATCGTACAAATGGAATTTAACTACATAACTTTGCAATAAGAATAAATTAGAGCTCGAGTGATGAAATTTGATGAATTGGAAATATGCTGAATTGGAGCGAAAACTTTTGAAATAGGATAAAATGGAGCTTAAAATCTTGAAGTAGGCAGATTTGGAGCCTGAAATTTTGAATTAAAATAAATTGGAGCCTGAACTAATTTACAATTGAGATTATATGGAGCCTGAACTCATAATTTAGGATGAATTGGAGCCCAGACTATTGAACAAGGATAAATTTGAGCCCGGATTAAGTAGGATAATTTGGAGCCCAGATTGATGAACTAGGATGATTTGGATCTCGGACGGATGAACTAGGATGATTTGGAACTCAGATTGATGAACTAGGATGAGCCCAGCATAGCCCGAACTTTTGCCCTCAAATCTTCAGTCATCTGGTTCAGAGCCGGCTTTAAAACCAACATATATATCATATAACTAAGTTTTAAATCTTTTTTGTTTGTTTTAACAGCAATTAATTTGTATGATTATCAACATTTAAGAATCATAAAAAATTATCAGAAGCGTACAGTAAGAACCAAAAGACAGTAGAATTTTCGTAGTCTCATTTTTTCTTTAATATATAAAATGTCTCTAGGGAGTTGGTTAATGGTTATTAGCATCTGAACTATTTCCAAAAAAAAATGTGCCCTGAGCTGAAAACTTAGAATAAGATATCCTTAATCCCGATCGGTTAATTAATTTGGAGATTAATAACAAGAGGAGAACAAGCATTTTTTAATCTCGAGATTTAGAAAAAGAGTTTATAAAGCATTAATCCCGATATCGACCATTCAAAAGTTCCCAGCTCTGAGATGGGATCTCTTGTGTGGTGGATATCGAGATAAAAGATCGATATCGATCATTTGATAACAGTCAGATTAATTTGATCATTATTCGATATCCCGCATAGTAATCTTTCCATGGAGATTGGATGTGTATTGTGTTACTTAATGAAGAGATTGATCCTCAAACTATAAGTGCCCACAGTAGATATCTAGATCAAGCGTTTGGGATTTAGAGTATCCAACACAAAGGATCGGGATTAAGAGTATCCAACACAAAGTATCAGGATTAAGAGTATCCAACACAAAGGATCGGGATTAAGAGTATCCAACACAAAGGATCAGGATTAAGAGTATCCAACACAAAGGATCAGGATTAAGAGTATCCAACACAAAGGATCGGGATTAAGAGTATCCAACACAAAGGATCGGGATCAAGAGTATCCAACGCAAAGTTTCCAACTCGAAATTTTTCGAAAAAAACTTGGAAACATTTTTTTAGTAAGAGAAAAAAAGAAAACCGCCATTCCACTATTTTCCAATTTTCATTGTATCATTGTTATAAGAAAGTATACTTTTGGTGAATTAATAAGACAAATTATATATATGTTTTCCTTTAGTAGATCTCTTGGGGCTTCTTCTAAATTTGGTGTACTCTCCTATAATACAATTCAATTCAACAATTAATATTGGACTAGAGATAAGTGATCACGATGCTAATTGATATTTTTGTGACACATAATCCATCCTTTCTTCTACAAGACCTTCCCCCCCGTCTAGTTTAATTATAAAGTTGACAAAAGCATTGCTTAAGATGCGGAATGCGGATCCATAGGATAGGTAATTTTTTAGCGATCCCTGTATCTGGATATGCAAAAATATGCAAATTCCCGGATCCGAATTTAAAAGACAAATTTGGAACAAAAAGATTGTTCTATTCTTATTGTCAATTGAAGATAATATATTAAAAACATTTTTATATTATAACTTTCGGTGCTTACAAGGAAAATATTTAAAACTGAGAAATAAAATGAGCTGAACCCTCATCTAGATCAGGATCCTAGAAAATACGAATCGAGGTTCCGGATCCATATCAAAATAAACCTGAGCACCAGACAGAACACTGAATTTTTGTAAAAATATATTCAAATTAAAACTTTCTAAAACAGACTGCGGACAACTTTTTATGACTTAAAAGGACAGTTAGCATAATTTCAAGTGACCCTCCATGTAAAGATGGCAATGTCAGATTTACACCGGTATTCTTCAAATAAAATTAAATCAAATTAGACTTCTAAATCCTAGTTCCAGTTTTAAAATGACTTTACTAATTAAAAATTGTAGCCTGGGTTTTCCTTGTCTGATCAGGAATTAATCAGATTTCAATGTTTATTATTTTGAAAATTGATTTTTATTTCAATCATGGTTTCTTACAAAAGTGACTTGCACATTTCCAGAAATAAACACTTTTTATTCCAGAAGAAAAAAATCTTTCACAATATTGACCAGATAAAGGTTTCAAGAATACCGTTGTTAATCGGGCATTGTCATCTTGGCATGGTGGGTCACTTGAAATTACGCTTAAAGTCCCTTTAATTGATAAATATTCATTGTTCAGGATTGTAAAAAACATACCTTTGTATGTGAACTTGATTGTGAAACCACTTCAATACTATCGTCGGAATCAATTCCTTTGACCGATCTAGATCTGGAGATCCTTTTGATCGATCGTGATCGGGATCGTCGCGTCCTAGATACTGATCTGCTTCGGGATCGACGACTCCGTGAACGATGTTTACGCCGTGACCGCTTTTCCTTCTTCTTATGCCTTGACCGGGAACGGGAGCGTGACCGATATTTACGTTTTTTACGTTCACGAGTCCGCGATCTAGATCTAAAATAAATTAACACATTAATAGGTAATCCCAAAAATAGCATATTTCGTGGATTTCTTAAATTTTTTTTTTTTGATTGTCCATAAACCTTACTTGGGCTAATGCGAGTTGCCACAAAAAATGAGCCCCTTTTCTATATATAAATTTGGCTTGTCTGTCTGTTTCTTTGTATTCAATAAACGTCAAGCGGGCACAAATTTTTTGTGGGACATCACGTGACCACAGGGAAGGTTAATGAATGATAAAAATAAAAAATAAATGTGTTTTAAAGGTTTTTATCTTAGTAAAAGAATTTTAATTCTTGAAAATCCGCGAATTTTTTTTTAAAAATCCGCAAAATTTTGTTCTTTGTTTTAAAATGTAAACAAAAAGAACATGTTCACAATTTAAATAGAAGATGGGCGCGAAGCGCCCTAAAAGCCTAGTTTGCTTAAAAACCAACAATCAAGCTAAATACAAATGTAAATTACCATAACAATAATGGCTTAACATTTAGGTCGGTTTAAATACAATTGATCCCCTAACCAAAATAAACAATAACCAAGGAAAAATCAGAATCAGGCTCAAGATTTTTAGATATTTGGATTTTTTCCCCGCTGTAATTGGGAAAATGAATAATTTGAGACAAGTGATTTTTTTGGTGAGTAAAAAGTATCAAAAAAGAGAACTTTCCTATTGATACCCAATCAAGCTCCCCAGAGCACGAAAAGGGGGGATTTTAAAAATATATTTTTAACTTTATCAATTTATTTATTTATAATTTTAAAAAAATATATATCCCTGGCAAAAACTAACCTATGTCTAGATCCAGTCTTCCTTTTTCTACTCGATCGCTTTCTTCTGCTCTCTGAGTCTGAATCTAAAAAATAAAATAATAAACAAACAGAAAAAAACCGGTTTGGGAGATAAAAACTACAAAGATCTTTCTAAATTCAGATGCCAGAAATTATATAAAAATAGCCACTGAATTTAAAAACTAATGCAAAAATTGAATATAAATTTTTAAAAATAAATTTCATGACACCATACCTTTTGCCTAATGCTTACTAAAATCTCGAAACCAAGAAATAATGCTTGCATTTCTAAGGAAATAAGAGGGGAGTCATAAAAGATGTAACGCCAAGAGTTTATTTTTTCTTCTGCTTTTGTAGTCAAAAAATTTTACATCTAATTCCTGATTTTATGGCTTTTATTATGTCTCTATTTAATATTATGTCCNACTAAATACGACCTGTTCACCGCTGGCTTGAGGTTTTACCTGAAGTTTATATTCAAATCTATCCGTCCTCTTAAACTGCTTAAAGGATTTCAGCCTGCGAATCTTTTTATAAATATTTTCAGCGCTGAATGCCTTAGAGAAAAAAAAGAAAATCCGGGAAATTACTTGTTTGGTTCCAGAACCCGAGAAAATGGAAGCTGACGTCTTTAATTTCCCTGAAGTCATTCAGCCCTGTTCAAAAAGCGGGGGCAATGTTTGCAAAATAAAACAACAATAAATCTCTTTAAACCCTTTTTTTACTGATTTCGGTGGAAGAAAACTTTTCGGTATTCAGAGGGAAGATTAGTTCTATCATAACAAATCCGAATACAAGTAACGTAATGTTTAGCTAAACAATAAGCCATCCTAAATCAGACTAACGTTGAAAAAGTACGATTGAGAATCTTTCCCCTCTACAAATGATGGGTCCATTGTAAATACGCCTACAGTCCCTTTAAATTGTCAATTTAACCCAAATTACGTTTACAGAATTGCCCCCGCGTATGTCTTGAAATATGTTGTTCAGGTGAAATATTACCTGAAGATATTGACTGTATGACCGGTCCAGCTAGGGTTGGAATCACGAGCTGCGGGGGTCCAGGAGGGGCGGGGGGTGGCCAGCAACCTACAGGCAGCTCTCCGTCTTCCTATAAAAGGGTTGATTAATATTTTATGTTCCTAGTTACTACACTATAAATAATCATTAATCAGTGCTTTTGGCTCCTAGAAAATTTTTGACAAAAACTATTAACTTGTAAATCAGTTTTTGGAAGAAATTTTATGACTTGGATCCCACTCCTGTATGCCGAGTCCATTAGCGTATGATCTAATCAGGGTTCAGTCATGTGTTTGATGTCTAATCTGAACCAATAGAAAAAGTATGGCAAGCATCTATCTTTCTATCTATCTCATTATCCAATCAGCGTTATGAATCCTTCAATCGGCGCTATCAGTAAATGGAAACATTTACTTCTACTGAAACTGTAGTGATCCAGATCCATTTATACAGAATGAAAAGGATCCTAAGAACTGCACATCACGATCAAAATCTTATTAATACCTAGTTTATTGTCCCGACTGGTTTAGAGCTGAGACAATAGTTGGATTGGATTTTGAGAATATGCTTTCCCCACTGTAATGCTGAACTTACTTTTGGGGAAAATAATGAACTAACAGAGAATTATTATTTAATTTAGAAAACTATAGTGAAAATTAATAAAACTGAAAGTTCAAAGCCCATTGCTTAGCTCACTGCCTACAAGCAGCATAAAACATTTCCTCAACCATTATTGTGGCGTAATAGTGACAAATGCATTATTGCATTAACGAATAGAAAAATGTCGTTTATTACCAGGTCTTTGGATTGAATAGGTTCAACGGATCTAACAGTTATATTCTTACCAAGTCGGTGGATTGAGCAGGTTCAACGGAACTAACAGTAGTTCTCTTCTCCACTAACTGACCCAGGAATAATGATACTTATTTTATTCTTACCAGGTCTGTGGATTGAATAGGTTCAATGGGACTAACAGTTATATTCTTAACAGGTCTGTGGATTGAATAGGTTCAATGGGACTAACAGTTATATTATTACCAGGTCTGTGGATTGAATAGGTTCAACGGGACTAACAGTTATATTCTTACCAGGTCTGTGGATTGAATAGGTTCAATGGAACTGACAGTAGTTCTCTTCTCCGCTAGCTGAGCAAGGAAAACTGCCGCTTTTCGTTTTCGTTCTAACTGCACTGCCTTCTCCTAAATATCATAAATTATCATTAAAGGGACCGTCATTGCAATTTCAAGTGAATTCTCATTCGAAAAGGATCCTCCCCGATTAATGATGACATCATTTACACCTTTTCTGATCAATTATTGGCGAGATATCGTCGTTGTTCTACCATTTCCTAGTTTTTTTTTATAGAGATTTGATAATTTTCAATTCTAGTAAAAAACATAAATGTCTCAATCCTGACTCAGTATCGACCAAGTTTAAAGTTCATGTCTCAAAAGCGACCAAGATTAAACTTCCTGGCTCTGAACCAACCAAGTTTAAAATTCTTGGCTGTGAACCGACCAAGATTAAAATTACTGGCTATGAACCAACCAAGAATAAAGTTCCTGGCTCTGAACCGAGCAAGATTTAAGTTCCTGGCTCTGAAACCAACCAAGATTAAAGTTCCTGGCTCTAAACTGACAAACGCATACCTTCGCTTGAATCATCATCTTCTCTCTTGCTGCTGCGGCGAGTTTATCCTAAAATAGAAAAAATAAACAGGTCGATGTTTTGGCCGACATCTTAAAAAAAATTTTGCTTCGGATTTTAGTCAATAAAAAAAATCAAATATTTTTTGAACATTGAAAATAAAATCCGCGAAACCAAATTTTCTTAGAAAAAAATGAATTAAATTTTTTTTGAAGATGTGTTGTTTCATCAAAAATGATATCAGAAATAACAAAAAAATGTAAACCAAGTAATTGCATCTTAGAAGTTATAATTTGTTCTAAGAGGTATTAGGTGATAACATTTCTTGCAGTTAATCACTGAAGTAGAAGGCGAGAGAGAAATACTTAATTTTGTCGATTTTTTAAAATCTGAAATTTATCAAATTATAATTTTCATAATTATTGATTACCTTGAGTTTGATCTCCTCCCTTGCTCTCAGTTTCTCTTCTTCCTTCTCATAGATCTTCGGCTCTGCTTTCAATACTGTAAACGAAATTTATCAATTTATCAATTATTCAATCAATCAATCAATCAATCAATCAACTTTTAGGAACGCATTATGACAACATCTCAATCCCACCATGACTATACTTAGCTGGGGAAGACTTTTATCAATCAACCAATCATTTAAATTTCAGCTACATTGAAATCGTTGAAAATATTTGCTTCATCGCAACGGACATCCGACATTTTGCCAGACTACCAATCTAAGCTTCTGCCGTGATCTTAGTCTATATTTACTGATTGTATCATGTATATGGAGTGATTTAGTTAAATATGAATCTCTACCAATCTCTTCTTTAAGATGTATAAGAAATAAGTAAATTTTTTAGCGAACCTTCATTTTTGCACTCAATTACGGAAAACAAATAATCTTAATATGGATTTTTTTTTGTGGGGGGGGGGGGGTAGGTAAAAAGTATCAATTATGGTTGATGACTTAAGTTTTAATCATCCCCCCCCCCCTCCCTACGAATATCAATTCCTTTTGGTATGTGGGGGGGAGGGGGCTTCTTCATACCAAATTACCTGGGGGAGGGAAATCAGTATCTCCAGGAGGACCTTCATCCTCCTCCTGCTCCTCCTTCTCATCCTCATCCTCACTCTCCTCTATAGGGAGAGCACTAAATAATTGCAAATATAATCAATTTGCAAAAATGTAGAGAATAACGCGGGAAACATGAATAAAATTTTAAAAAATTGAGCTAGGTCACCGAACTATCCCAAACCTTGAATCACCGATTCAAATTTGAAGATTCATGAGAATTTGAATCAAAATTTAAACTGGCGGCAGGTAGTTCAGTAACAGGGGAACCACAAATCCTCTGATATATCCCATGAATGCAGATAAGAAACTGTCCAGTACCTAATCGTATTCTGGTGAATTCTACATAAAACTATTTTCTCTTTTCCTCCTTTTCATCCTCACTCTCCTCGACAACAAATAAAATAAATATGCAAAAAATGTACAGAAAATGCAGGAACCGAGATAGAATTTAATAAATCTGAGCTAGGTCACTGAACTACCGAAATCTAGAATCACCGATTCAAAGCTGAAGTTTTATCAGGATTTAAATCAAAATTTGAACTAGCGGCGGGTAGTTCAGCAACCTCTCCAATTCATAAATTTCTGTCCCAGTAAATCAAAAGAATATTCCTTCAAAAAATGAATGCAGCTAAGCAGCTTCCAAAATCACAATCGTAGTCTGGCAAATTCTTCCTGACATAACACTTAACTACATTTTCTCCACTATAACATTAAAATCAAATCAGAGTTTTGAAGGATCTGAAAGCTAGGACAGGTCAATTTTTCACTTTTTAGAGGGATTCAAAGATTCTAAGAACTTTACACAAAAAATAATCAAAAATTTTTTTTAAGGCGAGCGGAGAGTTACCATTAGTTCGCAATAGATTTAAAAAATTTAAATTTTAAATGTGGATTGTATTCAGCGGCTTGAGATACATCTTTAGATGACCTTACCGAGATGTTTTGAAGTCTTGATAGTGAGATCTTTGTATTACTAGCCTTATAGGGCACTTCGCGCCCATCTTCTAAATTAATTGTGAACATGTTCTCTTTGTGTACATCGTAAAACAAAACAAAAATAATTCGCGGGTTTTCACAAAAAATTTCGTGGATTTTCAAAATTTTAAAAAATTTAATGATAATCGAATTTTGATGGAGACACATATTTGAAATTTTGATCATTCATAAACCTTCCCTGTGGTCACGTAATGTCCCACAAAAAAATTGGGCCCGATCGGTTCAGCCGTTTTGACGTTTATTGGATACAAACAAACAGACAGACAAGCCAAATTTATATATAGATTATCAAAAAAAGTGTAATATTATGAGTATTTAGAATTAAGTTAACAGTGCTTTGAACAAGTATAAAACGTAACTAGGTAACAATCCCTTTGACAGGTAAAAACTTACCTAGGTAACAATCCCTTTGAAAACGTAAAAAACGTACCTAGGTGCCGAAGACTCTGCGGTTCCTTTTATAACAAGTAAGCACTCCCCTATAATGTGTAAAAAACGTACCTAGGTGCCGGTAGAATAGGTTCTTTAACTTCTGCTTTTTTAACTTTAAAGGCCAGGGGTTCAGGAGCTAACTTAGCATCATAGTTTCCTTAAAAAAACATTTTTTTATCAATATCGCCAAAAAATGGATTACTTAGTGCTGGGGTTCATCATCTTCCCTTTTTCTCTCTGCTATTAACCCATCCTTCATTCTTTTTTCGTTTAGTTTGTTAAGTTACTTTGTACTTTGTGTAATGTTTTAGTTATTTGTAAATTTGAAAAAAAAAATGTATCTAAACACTTTGGAGGGCCAGCCAATTAAAACGACTAGAAATGGTTAGGTTGTAGGCCTGGCTATTGACTGTTTACTTAAAAATTAAAAATCTTTAATGTATTTATTGTGATGTTAGCAGAAATATCTTTCTATATCTATCTAGTATCTATTTATACTATAAATATTCATTAATAAATTTAGTTTTTTTGTCTGTTGGTATTAAAAAAGGCAACACGATTGACAATAACAAGGCAAGCCCAAGTTTTATAAAAAAAACTTCTCTTCTTTTTTAAATGCTATTGAGAAGAACCAAAAAGGTTTGACTTTCTATAACGCAACCAAATAAATTCGCTGTTCTCATCTTAGAGTAAAGTCGATACTACAGGAGCTACGAGGTCACAAAGTTGCACAACTAGCATAAATTTTATATTTAATGTCTATTTTAGAGTGGTTTCTGATGATGATAATGATAATAATGATGATGATGATGATGATGATGATGATGACGATGATGATGATAATGATAATGATAATGATGATGAAAATGATGAAAATGATGAAAATGATGAAAATGATGAAAATGATGAAAATGATGAAAATGATGAAAATGATGAAAATGATGAAAATGATGAAAATGATGAAAATGATGAAAATGATGAAAATGATGAAAATGATGAAAATGATGAAAATGATGAAAATGATGAAAATGATGAAAATGATGAAAATGATGATGATGATGATGAAGATGATGAAGATGATGAAGATGATGAAAATGATGAAAATGATGATAATGATGATAAAACTGATAATAATGATAATATTAACAATAATGATACTAATGTCCATTACCTGTCGTGTATAGGTTTAGCTTGTGAATATAATAACTATGATGTTTGTCTCCTTTGAACAGAAAACTGAACACATTCAAGCTCATTCTCAATTATTTTTTATTAGAGAATATTTACGGGTTAATTATCTAATATTGAGAAACAAACTGTAATGAATTGCAAGAAGTAGTGTAAGTAAACTAAGTTCTATTATTTCTATGACTTAAACCTGAGCATAAGAAAAGTGGTTCAACTTAGTCTAGTAGTTTAACTGCTTCTGACGAAACAGGTCAAAACTAATAAAATGTATTTACTGATGGGGTTCTGGAAAAATCTTGAAAAATTACATAGTTAGGTGTGACATGCTTAAAAAAGTTTCCAGAAAGATTTTTACTGATCATTGTCATATGATTGTGCTTAACACATCTATGTAGATTTATAAGAAATTTGGTTAAAATGGGTTTCACCCTTAATTTGTAAAGGTTTATCATTCTTAATAGCTTTATTAAAGGTCTGGTGAGATAGATCCAGATCCAGAAAAAAAAATAAACCCTGATTAGGAATGTATGCGCCTATCATTCTTAATAGCTTTAGGAAAGATTTGGAGAGGTGGATCCTGATCCGAAAAAAATTGGAAACCCTGATTAGGAATGTATGCGCCCCGCATTAGTTGTTTATTTTTCCCCGCTGAATTTGGGTAAACACATGATAAAAAATATGAAAAGGGGGGAACTTGGTAGTTGATGATATCCAACTTTTCATTTTTCTTTAAATACCATTAATCTACTATATAAATAATTAGAGTTGTCTGAGTTCAAATACCTAAATCTAACACTGTCTTTAATCCTCACAACCTCCTCGAAACTTCGACCATTCCTAACCCAGAGAATGGAACTTAAACATTGGACAAAAAATACAAAAAAAGTTGAAATCGTGTTCAACGCTTAAAGGTACTGAAAGCGTAATTTCAAGCGATCGTTTTTGGAAAGATGACAATGCCCGATTTACAACCGTACCCTTTTAAATCGTTGTCTGATCCAGTATGATCAGATATTAATGTTTAGAAAATTCTAAAACTTGATCATTTTCAACCGTGGGTTCTCTACAAAAGTGACTTGTGTATTTCTAATGCAAGGAAGTATATAGAAATAATCAAATTTAATCAAACTTAAACCTAGAAAAACAAAATTATCTTGCACATAATTGATCAGATAAAAATGTAAATCGAACGTTACATTGTCATCTTTGCAAGGAGAGTCACTTGAAAGTACACTTACAACTCAAAGTTAAATTTAAAGCAACAACTAAGTTATTTAGTTTAAAAAATAGTAAAAGTTTGCAAATTATCTGTTTAAAAATCATCATTTGATTTCGTTTCTTTTCCAGCCAAAAAACTTTTATATTTTTTTTTATTTATCTTTTTTTGTTGATGGTTATTTTACCGTTAGAACTGAAGAGGGAGAATTAAAGCTGAATAAAATCACTAAAATGTTGAAATTGAGGTTTGGATCAAAACTACTGCTAAATGTTGAATTGAGGTTTGGATCAAAACTACTGCTAAATGTTGAATTGAGGTTTGGATCAAAACTACTGCTAAATGTTGAATTAAAAAATATGTTTTTGGGAATCGTTGATGTCTTTCTGAGGTCAATTAAAAATGCATTATTTTTAAATACAGTGAAACCCTTAATAACAAATACATCGGAAGAATTCATCAAATGTCGTCTTGACAATTTTTCAATGGGTTTTATACTATATTACGTAAATTTCAGTATTTGCGAAAATAAATAAATAGCCATGAATATGCGGGAACAGTTTTAAAGAGTTCCATATAATCATTTAATTAAAAAACTAAATATCTGCAACATTCCATTATCAGAAAGTGAAGAATACGACATTTGATGAATTCTTTCGATGTATTCGTTATTAACGGTTTCACTGTAAAAAAAATGTATAAGATCTCTCTATGTAGTAAACGTTTTAATTTGTCATGTTTTTGACATAATTTTTCTATATTTTAAAGTTTCCATCCCTGGCGACATAGCTGGCCATCTTATCAATGATGGTTTGAAGGTCAGGAGGAGGGATACTTAGAGGTTCCTCTGTTCCTGGAGGAACATCTTCTTCTCCTAGATATACAGTCATATTTAAAACTTGAAGATCGTCTTTTTTTCTTTAAAATAATTTGCGGCATTCAATTGTCACATCTAATGTTACAAGTATGATACTTGAAAAAATAATTACAAAACATTCTTTGCTAAGAATAGTCTCCGAGTCCACTATGTTTATAATTTATGAGCTTTCCAATTTATTGGGTTTACTGTATAAAAGCAGGAGTTAAAATGGTATCAATCTGGTTGAATCCATTTAACCAGATTGAAACCATCCCCCCCCCCACCACATAAAAAAACCTTTAACAACATTTAGACATAACAAAATCTACCATAAAAAGTATTCTAGTCCCAAAAATTGTCAAAAATAGTATTCTGGTTTAAAATAAGTAAAAAAAAACATAATTAGAACCTGGAGGAGACGGGACGGAATCACCGGCTTGTAGATCAGGATGCATCACAGGATACTGCTCAGGATGCATGCCAGCATGCTGGTCAGGATGCATGCCAGGATGCTGTTCAGGATGCATGCCAGGATAGGGTTCAGGTTGGAGGTAAAGTGGTGGAGGTGAAAGTGTGAGGGGTGGGGTTGAACCATGGAGATTGGAAAGATGAGATAAATGTGGGAGAGGAGCTGAAAAGATATTGCATATTTTCTCAAAGAAGTTTGTGAAATTCTTAATATTTATAAAAAGTTCCAATTTTTTACATTGCCGTTTGGATTATTTGTCAAATTAGGATTATTACCATTAAGAATATAGCCATTTAGGAAAATATGCATTTTGAAAGTTGTTATTTGGGACATAGCAATTCAGTAAAATGTACATTTGGAAAATTACCTCCTGAAAAATGCCAATTTGGGAAGTTGCCATTTAGGATATTTCCATCTAGAATATCGTAATTTGTAATTGGACATTTGAGATATTGCCATTAGAGAATTTGCCATTTGGGAATTTGCCATATGGAATATTGCCATTTGGATTGTCGCAATTAGGTATATTGTCATTTGTGAAAGTACCTAACACTGGTGGTGAAGGTTCCTCCTGGGTGGGTTGAGGGGCTGGAGCAACTGATTTAATCCTGCTGATCAACTTGGCGTAGCTGCAGTCCTCGTCCCTCTTGTACTGAATGGTTGGGATAACAGGGGCTATATCAGTACTCTCTAAACATTATAATATTGTCCCGCGATATCATATATTGTCCCGCGATATCATATATTGTCCCACGATATCATATATTTTCCCAGTATTTCATAAATTTTCCCAGGATATCATATATTGTCCCGCGATATCATATATTGTCCCACGATATCATATATTGTCCCGCGATATCATATATTTTCCCAGTATTTCATAAATTTTCCCAGGATATCATAATATTGTCCCGCGATACTATATTTTCCCAGTATTTCATAAATTTTCCCAGGATATCATAATATTGTCCCGCGATACTATATTTTCCCAGTATTTCATAAATTTTCCCAGGATATCATAATATTGTCCCGCGATACTATATTTTCCCAGTATTTCATAAATTTTCCCAGGATATCATAATATTGTCCCGCGATACTATATTTTCCCAGTATTTCATAAATTTTCCCAGGATATCATAATATTGTCCCGCGATACTATATTTTCCCAGTATTTCATAAATTTTCCCAGGATATCATAATATTGTCCCGCGATATTATATATTTTCCCAGTATATCACCAATTTTCTCAGTGTATCATAAATTTTCTGTGGATATCATATATTTTCCCACGATATCATATGATAATCTTGGATGGAAAAAATGTAATAATGGAAATTATTAAACGAGATGAAATAATCTTGATGTATTCTTTAACGTAGGCCGCAAGTTAAAGAATACATAAAGATTATTTCATCGAGTTTAAAAATTCCATTATTCATTTTTATCCTAATAAGATTAATATTATATCATATTTATGAGGTTCCATGAGCGAGCACATTATATTTTTAAAATTCGTGTAAATACGACTATATTGGTAGATCAGGAATATATATATATATACCTAAAGTAGAATACTGTGGAACCAGGCTAGAAACTGGTTCTGCTGGCTGATCGGGTATATATTGTTTAGTTTTTAACATTAAAACCAGATGCCGGTAGAAGGAGTGTAGGGGGTCCTAACCAACAAGCCATTCATTCATTCCGACTATTTGTTTGCCTCAAATGTTAAATTAATCAGACCAATTACCATAACATAATAAATTTCACATGAACATAAAATATGGAAATATAAACAAACTCATAAAAGTTAAAAAAAATTTGACTACCACGTTAAAATGACTTAACTGGAATACCCCAGTAAAATGAATGCCAGACTAGACTCAACTGTTTAACTAACTGGACTAGACTCCCAGATTAAATTAACTGAACTGGAATACCCCAAAAAAATAAATGGACTGGACTCCTCCGTTTAATCTCAACTGGACTCCTCCGTTTAACTAAATCAACTGGACTACCCCTTATAAAAATGAATATATTGGACTTCCCCTGATGAAAATGAATGAACTGGACTTTCCACATGATAAGAATAAATGGACTTGACTCCCCCATTAAAATAAATGGACTAGCCTCCCCATAAATGAATGGACTCTTCTCCATAAAAAATGATTGAACTAGACTTTCCCTGATTAACTGAATGGACTGGGCTACCCTCAATAAAACTGAATGGACTGGACTCCCCGCACAAAAAAAAATAATGGACTAGACGCCCCTCAATAAAACTGAATGGACTGGACTCCCTGTGGATTAAGGAACTGAAAAGCTGGATTATTTGACTGCTTGGCTTTCATGAATATTTCCATCTGTGGACCCTGGGTACTCAGAAACTTGGCAGTCTAAACATAAACACAATATTAGACAATAAAACAAACAAAAACAATAAATTAATAAATTTGATAAATCAATAAATCAACCAATCAATCAATCTAGATCAAACAGTTAAAGTACAAAATGTCAGACTGAGTCTGACATTTTGTACTTTAACTATTTCAGTCAGAGATTTACATCGGCCGGTTGTAATAATATTTGGATTTACATCGTCCGGTTTTAATAATATTTGGATTTACATCGGCCGGTTGTAATAATATTTGGATTTACATCGGCCGGTTGTAATAATATTTGGATTTGGGACGAAACGTCAATCAATTGGCGACCTCTTAACAACAGGATTACCCACAAAGAATAAGACTTGTGTGACGACTGTACGGAATAAGACTTGCGTGANGTCAGTCAGTCAGTCAGTCAGTCAGTCAGTCAGTCAGTCAGTCAGTCAGTCAGTCAGTCAGTCAGTCAGTCAGTCAGTCAGTCAGTCAGTCAGTCAGTCAGTCAGTCAGTCAGTCAGTCAGTCAGTCAGTCAGTCAGTCAGTCAGTCAGTCAGTCAGTCAGTCAGTCAGTCAGTCAGTCAGTCAGTCAGTCAGTCAGTCAGTCAGTCAGTCAGTCAGTCAGTCAGTCAGTCAGTCAGTCAGTCAGTCAGTCAGTCAGTCAGTCAGTCGATCTCAAGTTAGAATAGTCTATAAAATTGTACCTTGAGCTCTTGATCAGGTATATATTCTCCACCATCCTCGTCATTTCTACAAATACAAAAATAAAACATTTTCAGATTCTGAATTTAAGGAACTGAAAGCGTAATTACAAGTATCCCTCATTGCCTGGATCACAATGGCACCACTAATACATTTGTCAGATCAAGCATGAATTAGATCTCAATTTATATAATTTGTTTAACTATTTCTATTTAAATTTGGTTTTTTGGTTTGATAAAACATTCCGAAAATGTAAATGTTTCTATAAAATTTCTACTGCAGAAAAAGTATATAGGAATAGATAAAATTGAACACTTTAAATCTAGAAAAATGTTTCTTCCTCGTTATTGAGTGAATAATGGTATCAAAGGTACAGTTGTGAATCGAGCATTGCCATTTTTGCATGGAGAGTCACTTGAAATTATGCTTACAGTAACTTTAAACCTCTTTCTATCTGACAACAGATTAAATTCTAACATTGTCCTTCATTGACTCTGTATCATAAATCCGCAAGTCAAATAAGTAATAAAAATAAAAATTTTATGATAGAAAAATTAGGATATCTCTTTCATTCTTGTTCATTGACCCCTGATGACCCGCTTAACTGAACCCTCAGTGACTCCTGAACTGACCCTGAGTTGTCTGAAGTTAGAAGTAAACGATCTTGACTCCTGCTGATCCTTGATGACCCTTGATGACCCTTAATAACCCTTAATAACCCTTAATAACCCATAATAACCCTTAATAACCCTTAATAACTCTTAATAACCCTTAATAACCCTTGATAACTCTTGATGACCCTAATTGACCCTGTGACCCAAACGAACCCTGGATGGTCAGGGGGAAGCTGAGGACCCTGAGTAGGCAGTTGAACCTCATCTTCATAATCTTCAGTATCATAGCGGAATCCAATCTAATAAATACAAATTAATTTTTCAAAAATAAATCCTGATAAATCAACTAACAAAATCATATCGGAATCTAATGCAGTAAATACAAAGTAACAATTCAAAAATTAATCCTGATAATATAACAAAAAGTATTATAGCAGAATCCCATAGTAGGTAAAAAATAAATCAAAATAAGATCCTTATCAGTTACTTAATTCTCCATCCTCGATCCTTGGAATTTTAGAGATGTGTTATAAACCTAGATTGATTTTATACCACACTGGACGAGGGGGGGAAGGCGACCCGCTCCCGTTTGACATCCGACCCGCAAATGACGTCACAAAACGGGTTTGAGGCATGCGCAATACTCTACACTAAAATTAGATTTGCTACTGTTACAAATAAGATCAGAGCTGAAAACTTTAGAATGGATAAACATCCTGACTTCTTGATCCGAATATCCAGTGATCCACTGTGGAAACTTTTCTTTTTTGTCCTAATCCACTCTTTTTCTCTCTCCTTGGATATCCGTTAATTGTTTTCTCCAATGAGAATATTTCTGTTCTCTCATTGGTTGCCCGCTTTTCTCTGATTGGCTGCTACAGTTTCTCAGATGATTAAATATTAATATGAATTTTATCGTTTTTCATACACTTTTAAGATAATCTTGCAAGATTATGTTAATCTTGAGATTATCAAAAAGAGTGGATCAAGCATTAATCCCGATATCCACCATTCTAAAGTTTTCAGCTCTGAGATGAAAACTTTAGAATATGATATCCTTAATCCCGATCTGTTAATTAATCTGGAGATTAAATTCATGAGGACAACAAGCAATATTTAATCTGGAGATTTAGAAAAAAGAGTGGATTAAGCATTAATCCCGATATCCGCCATTCAAAAGTTCACAGCTCTGATCAAGCAAAGTAAAATATTTCATCGTGGCAAAATTTTGATATTTCGATTATTGTTCACTAGGTTCTTTCTTGTAATAATCTTTACCTAAAAATAACAAAATATTTCCTGTTTTTATTGACGGATTTCAAATAATTCAATTCCAAATACACTTAGAATTAAAATACAAACACTCAAGTTTAAATTGAAATGGAATTAATTCTAAAACATTGAAATGATTCTTACCTCCCCTCCTGTTAATCGTCCTCTTTTTTTTTCTTCCTCTTCAAGGTTTTCCTCCTCCTCGTCATCCTGCGGGTAAACAAATATTTTAGGGGAATATATTTTTAGAAAAATTATCCCTCCCCCCACTACTCAAAATCATTTTTTCATTATTATTATTATTTGAAATTTTTTTACTTGCACAAACTGCACCCGAATCTAAATATTAAAGTGTAGACAAGAGCCCGTTCCTTGTCTACAAAGTGGTCGTCTTGTTAACATACTTTAGGGAGCAATTGATTGTCCGCTAAATGTCTCACAGAGAGTTTTTTATCTGATAGATAGATAATTAGGACGCACTCAGTCAGAGACGTCATGTGGTCGACCACTGTAATACTTTCTCAAGAATCCCCCACCCCCTCTGTTCCATTCTGGGCCGGGGAAATGAAATTAACTTGAAAATGGGACGTCGATCAAACAGGCTTTTAGTGTAAAAAATAAATCCTGAAAATAAAATTAATTGGACGGTAGATGTAATTACAAATGACCTTCCAATTGTAAGGAAGGAGGCACACAAATTTACAATGATACCCTCTAAATGTTATCTCAATCTTCCTTCAACAGGAACTTACCTTGTGTAAAGCTCGCCATCTTTCTTCATCACACATTTCTTCTTCAACCCTCTCATATTCCTCCAGCTCACTTTAAACATTTCATTTCAATTACTCGTTAGTATATTATTCAGAATTACCCCTCCCTTCCCCCTCTAGGAGAGTGGGAAATTATTTTTGATGATTTGGAGGGGAAAAAAATTGGACATCAAAAAGCGTTTTTTTGTTGTTGATACTTAAACCTTAAAAATCAATTACTTTTACCAATTTAGCAAATAAAACCCTTTAAAATCTCCAGGCGGGTAAAAAAATGTGTTCAAAAGGAATAATATTTTTTCCGAGAAAATACACCCCTGCATTAATTTATCTGATTATTCTATCAAAATTGTTACCGGGTTGGAAAACGATATGTTAAATAGTACAGGTCTCATTGGGGTTCAAGACAGAACAGTCATACTTATTACTTCCTTATTGAGTTATCAACATAAGAGGATATGTCGAAGAAAAAATAAATTAAAAAATTACAAAATTTAATGATGAAATAGAATGAATTTTGATTCCTTGTCCCTGTCCCTGTCCCTGTCCCTGTCCCTGTCCCTATCCCTGTCCTTACCTGTATTTCTCCCTAGGAAGATACATGTCAAGGTTATGGAGAAGAATTCTGCCATCATATCTATCTAACTTCAGATTAGGATCTCCATTCCACGGGATAAACTTCTCACACCTAGGACAAGTAGTTTAAGTACGTGCTAAATGAATTGGCTATATTCAAGTTGTTTTTTATAGTCTAGTCAACATTAAACTTTTTCCCCTTTTCCCATTATTATTTTTTCTTTTGCCCTTTCATTATCTTGTGACAAAAATTTCTATATCGTATTTATATTTTTTGAACTTTTTAGGGGTTTAAAACACTGACAGACACATATTTAGAAGTTCAAGTATTTGAGGCTGCGGGTAAATAATTGGAGATCAACACTCAATAAATTAACCCAAAAATTCAGTACGTTTCCCTCATTCAGCGCAAAAAGATCCTTACATATAGAGAAGAAAATAATTTTTCAAGAAAGGGGGGGGGGATTTTCTTTATTTCTTGATTAATTATTTTGTTACTCTATTACCTGTCTATTTCCAACGCTTTGTCGTCGTCTCGGAATATTTTAGACGCATACCCGAACACTAGTAAAAATATAATTATTTCTAAATGTTTTAACAATTTTTTGGGGATTGAATAATGATAACAAAATTGCGATTTTTGGAATTTTAGATTAATAACCGAAATTGGTATTTTTTTTCTTAAAAAATTGCCAACAATTTTGTTTTCTTCTAGTTCATCAAAAAAGATTTAAAAATGTAGAATATGAAAAAAAACATGATAACTGACTTTAACCTAACCAAAAAATCAGAAAAATGTCAGATTTTTCGACTCTAATCCACAAAATATCAATTTAAGATCTTTCTAAATGAATTTTCTTAAATCTTATTTTCAGACTACTTATTTTATTCTTCTCTTTTGTACCCTCTCCCCTCCCCCTCAAAATTTCGAGAAAAAAATCCTAAACCTACCCAGGAGAGTTGAATGGTCGGTAAAAGGTTTAGGTTTATCTTTCTCCTTATGTTTCTTCATTTTCATTCTGAAAATATATGAAAACTTACCAGATATACTATACTAGATATACTATACTAGATATACTATACTAGATATACTATACTAGATATACTATACTAGATATACTATACTAGATATACTATTCTAGATATACTATACTAGATATATCACAAAAATAAATAAATACTTTTTAACAATCTGAAAACAAGTGCAGAGAAACAAACTAAATTAATCCTGTTCAGGATGATGTCTGGTTTACCCAAAAAAGTCGGGGGGGGGGGTATAGTTCCTTATTGTGATACAAATCTTTAACATTTGATACACTTTTGAAAAGGTCTTACCACGGCGATTTCAAATATGTAAAATATTTGCAAATTTTCAAAAACAATATTTTTATTCAAGGAAAACTGAATATGTGCAAATTCTCAATAAATGCATCTGTGCAAAAAACTTTACAAAATATTTTCGCAAAAATTGTGAAAGCTGCTCCCTTTTGTTCAACTTTCCAAAGAGCTATAAAAAGTGAAAATCCAATGAGCGGAAGTAGGTTTAGTCGGGTAATGGTAAAATAATGCATTCAGGCAGTATGCCTGATGACTCACGCACGTGTTAGTTAGAAAAGTCAAAAGATTTGAACAGCCTTAAACCAATACTTTTTGAGATATCTCCAAAAAACGTCAGCCGGAATAGGGTTAAGAACAGAACATATAAACGTATTTTCAATTAAAACCAAACCACGAATAATCATTAAAAACTAGAAAAATATGTTTTCTTGAACAGGTTTTTGGGAGGAATAGGTTTTGTGCTTCAAGCTTCAATCTTCGTGCGGATTTAGTGCTCCATCCCTATATAAATGAACAAAAAGAATAAATTCTTTGTAAAATTATTTTTAACAAATTTTCTTTTGTAAAAAAATATTTTATTTTAACTATTCATGCATTTTATTCGTGGGGGGGGGAGGGGGGAATACATAGAGACTTAAAATAGAAATGGGATTAAATTAACCAAGCAAATCGTTTGGGTTTCAGGTTAAAATCAAAATAGCGCCTGAACCTTAATAGCCGGCCAAAATTTATATTTTTTGCCTACAGGCTAAAACAAATCTTTAATTTTAATTTCGGAAATCTCTTATATTAATTAATAAACTCAAAAACATTCCTTACGTTTAAATGATAACGGGAAAAGGCAAAGAGAATAAAAATAGAAGAAACAATAATCCGCACCCATGATCATGACCCCCCTCCCCCCTCTCTCAATCAACAAGATAACCTGTTCGGGGTCTGTTCTTCGTCATAATCTTCTTCTTCTGTTTCAACTCTAGTTGCCCCACCTACAGCCCCCTCAGCTCCCTGCAGACCTAGCCCTTCAGCTCCACCTTCTCCCTGTACACCTCCTGCTCCTTCTCCTCCTCCCCAATTGAATCCCCCTGGCCTATCCTCGGGAGCGGGAACGTATGTTGGATCCTAATAAACAGAAAAATATTCTAGTCAACAAATTCAGCATTTGAATTTAAGAGAATTTGCGCATGCATTGAATGCCCAATACACAGCGGTACTATTAAGGTTTTGGTCGATGTTTTGCCATTTGGATCCGGATCCATGAATCTGTATATTTGATCGATCCGGATCCATGAATCTGTATATTTGATCAGGATCAGGATCCATGGATCTGTATATTTGATCCGGATCCATGAATCTGTATATTTGATCAGGATCAGGATCCATGGATCTGTATATTTGATCAGGATCCGGATCCATGGATCTGTATATTTGATCAGGATCAGGATTCCTAAAGCCAAAATGTTGCAAATCTAATAGAACCCTAATTAAGCACTAAATAAAATGGTCTGATGCCGAATTATATGAATTCAAGCTGCCAAAAACCGGTTCCGATTGAGCGCCGGCTCAAATCTCGAAGCTCCGAGTACAATTTTGAATGGAACCAACCATGTTTGACCCGCGCCTTAAAAAGACGCGGCTCAAATTCTTTAAATTCGGCCTCTGCACTGGGCTCATCTAACCTCAGTAACTGGATCGCAGAGGTTCTTAAGGAACTGTGGTGTTTTGATCAGTCTCCTTCCTCCAGGCTTATTAGGAAATATATCCTCCAGGAAGTAGTAAATATGCCCTATCACCATTCCTACATTACCGAATTAATTAGTTAGGGGAATATATTTTGTAAAAATNCCCCGCCCTTCTGAAAAACCCACACCTCCATGCCGGTAGCTTAATAGTAATAATAAAATAGATAGATCTGGAAGGGAACCCGCCATGGATTATTCTGAGGTTTTTCCCTTATTGAATTAGGAGAATAGATGAACTTTCTGTTATTAGGCATAAATTAAAAGCATCCTCATTTTTCACCCCCTCCCCCCTCTCTTCCATGTCGAGTTAATGAATATATTCTCCAAGAAGTAGTAAATATGCCCTACCACCTATACCTATACAATTTTTTAGTCAGGGTCAAGGGAAATAAAGGAATTGAGTTTATGCCGAAAACACGTATTTTCCCAACCCGATGTTGTAGACCTTTAATATTATAAATCATATATTCTGTGTGATCAAATAGTGTAATTTATAAAATTTAAAATATCAAAGGTTTACGCTATCAGGTATAGGGATTATAATATTAGATTTTTTAAGGTCTTGTCTCACTGGTTTGGAGGAATATGTGATAAAAAGTTGCTTAAACTGGGGTAAAGTTGTGTTTTTAAGAGAGTCATGAGATAGTGTGAACTTAGATTACGCTTGTTTCCCTGAGGAGTAGGGAAACCCACTATCTTCCCTTACTTGAATAGTATTGAATAGGGGTATTATGATACCCAATCATATATCCACGATCATATTGCGGCCCCCCCCCCCCTTCCAAAATATATTTTTNCTGTTTTGGGTGTAAAGGTCCAGTTAGAGCAGAGGCGGGACAGTGCTGCATGCGCCTGGAGGCGGTCTGGGGGGTTCATAGCGGGGCCTCTTTTTCAGATTTCATTTCCTTATGATTCCTTATATCTGAAAATATTAAGTTGCCAAGCTATTAGATGAGAAAATATTCATTTTGTTTCCATTACTGATACTTTTTACACAAACAAATCATAATTTTTTCGTCTTTTTATTACTCACTTGCATTGCCCATGGAATTAAAAAAATATATTTGAAAAAATTGGATTTTAAAAAAATACAAATTTTAGAGTTTTTTTTTAGCCTATGACACTCCCAGGCTACCCATGAGTGTCCACACAAAATTTCCGCCCATTCGGTCCTTTCGTTTGACCGTCTATAGGGAACATATATATGAATGTCTTGTTATATTATATAGATTGATTCTTTCTCTTATTCTGCAAAAAACCTTATAAAGGGGGGAGGAGGGGGAGCTGTAAAAAAAAGGTACCTAGAATATCAACGGATATAGAGTTGCCAAGCAGAAGAGAGAAGCCCAATAGAACCCAGGGTAGATAAGGGGCATTGAAGGTCATCAGTCCGAAGAAATTCATCCTACAATCAATCAATCAATCAATCAATCAACCAACTAACCAACCACCAGGGTCGCCAGTCCAAAGAAATACACACTATAATCCAAGGTACTAATGCAAGGAAAGTTATTTCAGAGGTGTAGACATTTTTTGTACTGTACTGTCTTTAAGCGGAAAAAGTAAACACAAGACGGTTGTCAAACCTTAAATGGAATCCATTTTCACAAAAATTTTCTATAAATATTCTGGTCATAGGAAACTATTATGTGAATTTTCAAATTATTAAAATAAATGCTTTTAACCTTCTCGGATACTGAACGAACCCTGATACATCTATTCTTGTTTACAAAGTCCGCCCGGGGAGAACCGGTTTCAATATGTACGCAGAGTATAGGCGACCGCAATTAACTTTCCTTGCATTAGTACCTTGCTACAATCCATAAATAAATAAATAAGTCAATCAATCTTTAGTGGTTGACCTTAAAGCCGCCCCATATTGGGAGATTAAGGCCGTCAGTGTGGTTTATCATGGTTTCTCTTTATAAGTAACTTGCAAATTTTGATAATAAGGAAACTTTTCTGAAAAAAAACTGACGAAATCTTCCTCGTTGATGATCAGATAAAAATAATAAAACTTAACAAATCTGTTGATAGCTTACCTAACAAACGGATTTCTTCTGGCCCATACATAAACCAACATTATAGTAAATGCCTAAAAATATTTATTAAAAGCTTAACTTCAATCTTCAAAACTTTTTATTTTTAAATAAAATAACCGGCAAAGGTAATGAAACAGAGGTAAATATTTTGAAGAAAAAAACATAAAAAATGTTTGACCTTTTTGCAACAATTTTTGATAAACTAGGAAAAAGTTATTCTCAAATAAGTTTTTGTCCTTTAATCAGCTGTTTCGAAGTTTTAGACCCCCCCCCTTTTTTTAAACTCTACCTGTCCTAAAAATAGAAGATTGACGAAGAAGGCTGATATGATCATGTTGACAGCTCCAAAAAGAAACATCATAACAAAATCCGCGGATTTTCCACGAAAACTAAAATAAGCAAGAACGTAAACAAACTCAACAAAGGCGCAACTGGGGCCTTCTGTTAGAAAGTGGGGGGGGGGGGGTGTATAAAAATGTGTAAAATGACTAAGGCGCGATGAAAACCAAATATAATTGAATTTTGAAAGCTAGCAATCTTTACCATTTGACCCTGTTTTGCTTAAAATTTCCACTTTTTAACATCTCTAGAGGGAGTAAAAGGGTGGTGAGGGAGGGCAGCAGTGCTAAGGATCCATTTAATTTTGATACGGATCCGGATCCTAGATCCGCACTGGAAAAAAAGGATCCAAATCCAAATCCGGATCCAGATATTTCTTTAAGATTTACTGAATGTTTTTTTTTGCTTATTTTTATCCTAAAACTTGATGAACCATTCAGAAATGATGAAATTTTTATAATCTCTCTTTTTTCAAAAATTTAGATTTGGGTTTTAGGTGTAAAAAAGTTTTTTTTTTGCAGTTTTTAGTTGATATTTTACCCCTTGGATCCGGATCCGTGGATCCGCATATTTTTGCGGATCCGGATCTAGGAAGCCAAAATCTTGTCGATCCAACGGATCCAGATCCTAAGCACTGGAGGGCGGTGAGCTAACCTGACTTCCTCTAGCATCCTACAGTATCTGTATGTGAATATCATATTGAAGAAGAAGTTGAATCCAAAGTTTCCAAAGAACAAGAACGGGGTTATCAGCCTCCAAACCTGAACAAACAAAATCAAGTTAAAGTTTTTAATTATCACAACATCGCAACAGAAAAATATTGCATCTTCAGGGAGACAACAATGAACACAATTTCAAATATTTAGTTATCATGAGTTCTCAAACTCAAAAGCTATCTCTTTTCAAATTATTCCGGATAGCATGTCATACTATACGTTAAATCCCGGTTTAAACATTAAGAATAGAAACAGTAAAATAGGAAGAATACTGTTAGACCCAGGTCCATTAAACATGAAATCCCATTTATTCTGGATAGTATGTAACACATAATCCCGGTTTATCCAGTGAGACCCCTTAGACAGTGAAATATGAATACGACTGCTAGATTCAAGTTATAATTTTAGTCCAATGAACATTAAACACGACAATTGTGCAGTGTAATTTGCTTTACCATTTTTAACTTTTGAACTAAATATAAAAATTTAAATAGTTAAAAACACGGTAATTGTGCAGTATTTCACTTAACCAGTTGATTTAAAAGCTACTGTTTACTTTCTAAGATGTCGTCTTCCTATTCTCAGTTTTTTGGGTGCCACTGTATCCTTACCTGATACTGTTTGATTATAAGAAGAGGATTAAAGTAGAGCTGGAAAGGGGAAACTACTTCAAGTTTCACCTGAACATTTTAACAAATTAAAATTGAAATAAATTCTTAGTATCAAATATCTTAGGATAGCTTTTCTTTAAATGCCAGACTTTAAAGGTTGTTATTTGCAGTTACATAAAACGTTTCAATGAAAAAAGTTAAACATAATATGGCTCGTTATAATATGATCATTTCAAAATTATGGACTAGACGTATTGAGTCCTTACTCATTGAGCTGGGTACCCCAGATCTCACCCAGATCTCTAGGGCTTCCTTGAAAAAACGGATTCAGTCAAACCAGATTATCAAACTCCAGATGACTAAGCAGTCACACTCATCACTGAAATGGTTATCAGAACCAAACAAATGGTTCAAACCAAATCCTCAAGTAAATGACTCCAAAGAGTGTGCCGCCTTAAACCAGTTCAAAGCAGGAGACGCTGGGCTAGGGAACAGGCGTCCTAATCATGTGGGTCGCACGTACAAACAGTGCCCCTGGTGTTATTCCCTTGGAGTCACTGCTAAACTTGATGAACAACATGTACTTTTGGACTGCCCAGGCACAAGCTTCGCCAGGTTCTCTACAGGAGTACAATCTTTCCGAGACGCAAGATCTGCTGTTATGTCTAATAACCAGATAATGAAGGAATTCCTGGGGGGCGACAGATCTGATGAAAATGTCATGACAGAACGAGGAGTTTGGATCATTTCCATACTTAAGGAATGGAAGCGGATAACTTATCTGCTTTAACAGGTGATAATACAGATCTCCAGGATGGCTAAACTATTCAGGTAACAATGGGTGTTTCAAATGATGGGCTGTGGCAGGGTACGCTTCGTGACTTTGATCACGCTATACCTCCAGGTTGTACCTCTCCATGGGATGGAGGCCGGGCTGGATTCAGTACTATTCTCACCTGTAGGGTCAGATACTACTGTTGGCGGTCTGGGTTGCTCAACATGGGGCTTCTTACAGATCTCATTCTCATACTCATACTCATACTCATACTGTACTACTGTATTCTCTGGGTTCCTAACTTTCGTTTGATATGCATTGAATTAAGCCATAGTTAAAACATTTACTATTTGACGGGGGCATTAAAGGTCATCAGTGACCAATTTTATTTTATTTTAGGAAATTCGAACACAAAATAAACAATATACCCCTGTGATATTTAAACTAAACGTACTGCAATTGTTGTCATGACACATGCTGTTGTGTAAACACGGGTTACAGGTGGCATCTCCAGGTAGGCCTGACAATACAAATATATAATTTTGTAATCTAAAGAGATATATTTAGGTAATTAAAAGGGATATGTTTTGGTAATTTTAAGGGATATATTTCGGTAATTGAAAGGAATATATTTTGGTAATTTAAAGGGATAAATTATTGTAATTTAAAGGGATATGACTTTGTAATTCAAAAGGACAATTTAGTGCTGACGTAATAACGATGGAGCCTAGGTGTAAACTATGAAAGCATGGTTTTCTCATTAATCCTTTATCTGGCAGAGGGTACCATTGCGAATCATACATGCCTCTCTTTTATTTATGAAGGGTCTTTTGAACTACCATCTTGAGTCCTGATAATTATAAGAAACTCATGGTTTTTTTTTATTTTAATGTAATAATAATAATGAGATTCCACCAAAGAAAAGTTCTTTATGCAAAATGTGATTTCCTAGCGAACACTTTTAGGACCCCCCCCCCCCCC